TAGTCTGATAGGCAAATGGTATACATTTCTATCAATTTTGAACTTTTATGAATGTCCAATGGCCACTTACTGGTCACTTAGCAAGTGAGTCAGTAGAGGCTTCTGAACAGTGGATTCTAATTCGATATTTCATATAAGCTTGGTGGTGTTACTGAGTGCTGGCATGGATGTTCACGTTGATAGTCGGGATTCCTACAGTTTTGGGGAAGGACATTTTGGTTTTGGTGCAGTCATCATTATGGTCTCGCAGTGGTCATTTTTCTTTTTACATACTAATAACTTACAGTTTTACTTTATCATCTTATGTCTTACTTATTTTGTCATGTTTTAGTCGAGGCTACTGTGGTGTAGTATGCTTTAGCCAGCAATTTTCTATCACTAGGTCTCAAGATACATGTCTCTAAGGTTTAAACTGAATCAACTAGCCCATATTGCAAAACAAACATGTGTCATATTCCCCAAATGTGCACGTGCAGCTACCTGTCATTTTTATCATCATGTTCTTTATCCAGGAGAAAGTGCCATTTGACAGGTCGGGTGTGCTGGAAGTCTCTCTCTGTCCATCCCAGGTGGCCCTCATGGCCTGGACGGTGCTGCTGTGGCCTTACTCCTCTTAGTCTTGTAACCTATATTTTCCTTTTAATATATTTCCTGAATTTTGGCTGCTGAGAATCCCAACCCGGCTGACTTTTATGACTGTACCTTTCTTCAATCAGTGTCTCAATACCATTTTTCTCCTTTTCTCCTCATTTACGTTGTGGTATTTTGTCCTCTGATAATAGTTTTCTGTCTTTTCCAAATAAGGCCTTTTGCGTCTGCAGCCTCAGGTCCTTTCAGAAATCATCAGAGTGCCCACAAATATTTTATGGCTATGAGGTATTGGGTGAGAAGAGCAATTTGCAACTGTTCCTAGAATAGTTCTTTGTGCTCTTTCGCTAAAGAAAGGAGAGACTCTTTGGATGAGAAAACTCAGCAATTTGGGGCTTAGCAACCTTGAGAAAACAAAAAGAAAAACAGCCCAAACAGGGAGACTGGGCTGTGGAAGCCTCGAAGGCAGCTCTGAGGACTGAGGCTGTGGCTGGGAGCGAGGGCTGGAGGCAGGGTCAGGTTGGTGCCCCATCCCCGAGTTTGGGGCACCTTGAACAATTACCTAACTTATGACTGTATTTTCTTGTCTGTTAATCAGTGATAATAAAATATGTTTCTTGGGGGTCTCATGAGAATTAAATTAGATTAGATGTGTAAAGAAAGAGTTTAGCATTGCGCCTGGCACTCGTGAATGCCCAACCAGTGGTAGTTGTTAATACCGTGTTAGCCTCCCAAATGGGGCCAGGCGGATTGAGGGATTGGGGTGGGAGAGGGTTCCCTTTATGGCCATGGAAGATTTTCTACTGAATCTGAGAATGGTTTATGTTTATTGAGTCCTGAGTGTAACTGGTGCAGCTGACTTCAGCAGAGTGCTGTGATTCCATGGTGTGAAGGGGACCAGTCTCCCTGAGAGCTATTACAGGGGCGACTGGGATGGGGGGGACAAGAAAGGGGGGAAGGCATCTTCTACCCATAATTCTACCACCTGAAGATGATCACTACTAACATTTTGATCTACGTTTCTGCCGTCCACTCTACTAACAAACACATGTAATACATATGTATATTTATATTTTACTAGATATAAATCGAAGTCAAAATAGATGCTGTTTGTAACCTATATTTTCCTTTTAACATATTTCCTGAACCTTTAAGTAGTCTTCAAAAACATTATTTTAATAACCTCCAGTATTCATTTACTGTTATAAAAGGTACTGTGATGATCATTCTTACCCATAAATGTTTGCAAATATTTCTTCATTTCTCTTTAGGGTACATTCCCAGAGGTGGAATTACTGGGTCATGAGGTATGCATTTGTCAGGCTGCGTTGCCCACCGGAAATGCTACAGGATGCCCCTATTCTGTGTGGTCGTGCTTGCCTCCCTAGACACTTGCTAACATTGGGTGTCATGCTTCTGTTGGTTTGTAGATCTCGAAGTGAAAAAAATGGTATCTTGTTTTAATTGCTAATTATGTGTTTCTTGGCCATTTGTTTATTTTCTTATTAAGTTGGTTTTCCTATTGCTTGTAAAATATTACTTGTCTATCTTGTGTTAGAAAAAAATTTTTTTCATTTTGCCACTTGCTTATTGATACTGTAAATGGTTTCTTTTGGTATATAAAAATTAAAAATTTCACCAATCCATTTTATTAGTTTTTCTCTTGGCTTTTGTTTCTGTGTTTATAAAGGCCATGCCCCAAGAACAAATAAAAATTTATATCTTTTCTTCTTAGTTTATGATTTCTCACATCCAGGTTTTTTAATTCATCTGGAATTTTTTGGTATATGGTATGGATCTCACTGTTGTTGTTGTTGTTTTTCCTGTTAGACAGTTGGTCCCCCAACCTATGCCAAATAACCCATTTTTTACTGTTTTAAAATGCTACCTGTGTCAATTGTTAAAATCTTACATACTCTTGAATTTATTTCTGAGCTTTGTTTTGTTCCATTGATCTAATCTTGTACCAGCACCAAACTGTCATATAATATTTTTATATCAAATAGTACAAACCTACTGTCATTATTCTTCCTTTTCAGTGTTCTTGGCTGTTTTTACCAATCTATTTTTCTAGCTCAGAGGTCAGCAAACTTTCTGAAAAGGCCACTTACTCGACTCTGCTCTTATGGCACAAAGCAGCCACAGACCATAGTAAAAAGGGTTGCGCTTCAGTAAAACATACTTACAAAACAGACTGTAGGTTGATTTGTCCTGAGAGCCATAAGTTACCAACCCTGCCATCCTCTTACCTTTCTCACAAATATACAAAAAGTACACACACACACACACACACACACACACACACACACACACACACACACACGGTGTATATATGTACACCTATTACATTCTATATGGTATATATATATGGAGAGGGAGAGGAATTTAGTTAAAATGACATCATACTTATACCATGATTTGTTAGAAGATTCACAGGACTCAGAGGCAGTTTGCATGCAGGGCTCAGCAAGAGGAAAAGACCTATTAGGCAGGCTTAGGAATCTGTGCACAAGCACCCTCTTGGCTCCCTCCCAGCAGGAGGGCTCATCCAGACTGTGCTCCCTTCTCCAGCACCTAAATGCAGCAACTATGATTCTGCACGGATTTTCAGAGACTTCTGGCTTTCATCTCACTTCTAGGTAGTTTTATTGCAGTGCGTGCATAATCTCCTTTTCATTCACGGAGAGAATGTGATGCAATGTGGGGTGGCTTGCAGAAGGCAGGCTTGCTGCACTCACCACCTTGATTGCTACCATAGTCCCAGAATTAAATCCCTTAGGTTGAAGCTTTGGGGACAGTTTCTCTCCCTGCTTTTTTCTTGTAACTCTTCTCTGTAGTGAACCATCAGAAGTGTTCATCTCACTCAGCTCATTCAAATCAAAGAAACTCCTTCACTGCAGTGTGAAAAATCTTGGAAAACCTACTTATTATGGGTAGAAAAACTCAAGCCCTTCTTAAGATTTGCTTAACTTGACCTGCCAGAAGAGATTGGTTCTCTTTGTAGTTTGACCCTGCTTTTGCCAAAGGCTAAAAGAAACAAAGCCACTTCTTCCAGCAGAGTTTCAGAGATTAGCTTCCACACCCCTTCCCCATGCTGATTCTAAAACTACCTCATCCTTTCTCTCAGTTACCTTTTCCCGCCCCCCAGGACTTCAGCTTCCTAGAGGGAAAGGGGTGGCTAGAATTTTAATTGTTTCTTAACTCTGAAATTCATCCAATAAATGGCATGGTCTAGGCTTCCGTGAGTGAGACACTTAAAATGTAAACAGAACTGAGTTAATTAACCTGAGGTCTGACTGTGACGCAAGTGGCTTGCATAGGAGCCTCCTTCCCAGCTGTTTTGGTGTGTGGGTCGCAGCAAAGGAGTGAAGCAGAGAAGGCTCTGAGCCCTCCTCAGATGAGCCCCCAGAGAACCCATGTTCACACCTCCGTTAAGGTGCAGGTGAAGAGGGGAGGGGGTGGTCATCAGGGAGAATCTCTTCCCGTTCACGAGCTTGCCAGGGTCTGAACGATAGCCAGCAAGTCTTAACTTTGCAAACTGCATTCTTCCAACTTGTCTCAGGATTACACAAATCCTTTCAGGTTTCAAGTTCCTTCAATTCTTCCCCTAGAATGCTTCTTGCTCCTCTTCCGGTCTGGTTCTTTCTGTCTTCATACTTTACTGTAGTAGGAACTGTCGTGCCTCTCTGTTATTCCATTTCAGACATCCCTTGGCTTTTTTATTTATAGTCATGTTTATATTTCAGACACATTTCTTGCCTATAGCAAGCAAAGGTCCATTGTAATGTATGTAAAACTAGGCAGGGACCCAGCCCACTAGGAGGGACACAGCCAAAGCCACTTTATAAATGAATAAATCATGAACTCTTAGATCTTTAAGATGTAGGTTTAATCATGAATTGGAGTGGGTGGTTCATGGAGAATGTTGCAGCTGGGTTAGGTCTTCATCATAAATAAAGACCACCCTTTTCTCCCATTCTACCACTTTTTTTATATGGCCATTTACCTTAAAGCATTAAAGAAACATCAATTAATTTTGATATTAGCCCAAACAAAACATAATTAGCAAGGTAAGCAGCCTCAGAAATATTACATATCTATTTCCAAAACTTCCTACCTTTCTCCTTTTCTTCTCGTCTTCCCTCCAAGCCACCCTCCTTTTGCATTAAACTGAATAATTGAGGAATACCCCAAATATAATAATTAGGATTTAAAACCTCTTAGGATTCACAGACCTCACCAAGCTATTTAACTGCATTTAAACGTTGATTCTAAGTGGTTTCTTGATTCCAGTGGAAAAAAAAAAGTCTCTGTTCAGGTATGTGTCCCCAACCATTGGGGATGGCGTCTGCCTAGCATAGGTGCCATGTGTGACACCCTCCATAACAGAATGTCACTTGGATCTATTTCAGAGTTCCCTGAAAAGAAGAGGCAGTCGGGAAACGTACAAAGAAAAGAAAACCTTTAACCAGGTAAGCAGAGGTTTTGTTCCAATGTTACATCTTCTCAAGAGGCAATCACCTCATTTTGAATTTTCTCAAAAAGTGTTAGCATTGTCTTTAAAATATTCAAAGAAGCACTATCTGCCAAAAAAAATTTTGGACTCATTCAAAACCTCAGTGTGATGAAAATGTTCTTTCCAAACCAACAGCCCCTCCCTTTTGTTTCTTGCACTGATAAACTATTGATTACTTCAATACCTTTGTGTGAGGCATCCTTTGGTGTAATTCAGGGCTCTGGCAGTTACTCACAGCCAGTAAAAAGCATGTGGCCTTCAGAGTCATTCACACAGAAAAATATACAGCTACTATAGTGGTGGGTCATTCATGAGGCACTGTTTTAAGTGTTGTGGTTGTTTTTTTAAATGCACAAGCTGGACAGTAACTAAATTGTCCTAAATGAAAATAAAATGTCCTTACTGAAAGATGGTAAAAATGTAGCCCTTTCTATGTACATGGCATGTGTTCCTCAGAACTTTCTTTGGCTTTCCTGAACACTTGCTTTACTGGAGTCCTTTTTTCTTTTTCTTTTTTTTTTAAATAAAATCACTGCTAGGTATTAGAAAGAACAAAGGCATTGTTGGGATATCAGCTCCCCAAGATCTCAGAGCAAGTGGTAATTAGAGAGATGCAGTAAATCTGGGTAACTTAGAGTCCTACAGGCTTGCCCCTGTGAATTCCATACAGATTACCTTTCGTTTCTCCGTTCTCCAAACTCACTGATTCCCAGAGTACCTGTCAAGGAGGGCCAGGCCGTGTGAACGGCAGGCATGCCAAAGAGTCACTGTTCTCTTTCACCCTCTTTACTGCCCTGGTCTCACTTTGGCATCTCTAACAACAGGGAAATTAAAATCTGTCATCCCCCTGCTGGGTGCCTGGACCCTCCTGGGCTTCTAATATGTTTCAACCTACGGGCTCTTGACCAGGGAAGATCTTTTCCTTAAAAGGGTAACCGCTGCCCCGTTCTGGAATGAACAGCATGGCCTTGTCTTCACCCATGGGTAAATCAGGCTGAGAACAGCCGCTGCCAGCCCTCAGGAGTGTCTGAGCAGCCCTGGGCGCCGGGCATGTGTTCAGTACCCCCTCAGCCTGCAGTGTCATTGAGAAAGGAGTTTCTGTCCAGCAGAGTGGTGGAACGGAGCGCCTTGAGAACTGCAGGTCTGCGACCAAAACTCAAAGGAAACTGGCACCCTGGCGCAAGGTAGGAATGCGAGCAGTCAGCGCTTGGGGTGCTGGCTAGATATCAGACTTGCAAGCCAAAGAATATATACCCATAGCGATATATTTTTGTTGCTTGACAAGGCCTTTCCGGCTGCTGCTCCTGCTGGTGGTGGTGCTGGTCCTGTGTGTGTCCTCGCCTCCATGCCATGCTTGCCTTCTCTGCCTGCAACAGGAACAGTGTCATGTGGAAAGTTTGACTCAACCTTCTCGCTTTCATACTGCATTCCTGGAGCTATCTGATGATCTCTTGAAACCAGAGCTTGATATCCTTCAGCTTAGGATTCTGCCGAGACCCCCTCCCCGCAGAGTTTTGGCAGAGTTTTAGAAAGTCTACAGTTACAAGATAAGATGGGTAGCCGGCCTCCCGCTGCTGTAGCTGAGGCTGTGATTCTCCATCTTGTTAGGAATAACTTCCCGCCCCCAGAACAGGCTGAGTCCAGCTCCCATGGCCTCCCCTCTCCCACATGCTGGCCCCAGAAGGCACAGCACCTTCTCCAGCCGCCTCCACAGAGTGAGGAAGTCTGACCCCTTCGTTAAATGTAAACACCCCCTTGGCTTCAAAGATTGTCATTCTTTCAAAAACTGCTTTAGTCTTGGTGTCAGGCCTAGTAATGCATGGGTGTTGAGTAGAAATGACAGCATGCTTTAATCATATGTCAGAATTCCTGGTGTGTGTCTAGTTCTTTCCTTAAGGAGCAAGAAGACTTTCTGGATATTTTATCAAACCTCAGATAATCTACAAATCAGACATTCATTAGGGTATGTCATAGAATTTTGTTTCTTTAACTGACCTCAGTATAAGTTCAAAGAAATGGAGCAGAATGGTTCTGGTTTATAGTCAGACATGTAGAGAATGGCAGATGGAAGGGGGATGGTGCAAGGTTCAAGGTTTCCAGAAATCAAGGTGATTTGAGAGCTTTTTAGGATTTTCTACCCTGAGCATTTATAACTGAGTTTTTTGGAACCCTTCTGGAAGGCTCGGGTTCCATGTGCCTCTCAGAGATCCTACCCATTTCCTCAACTTGTTCAAATTTTGGGGAAAGACCCTCAGAAGTGATTGCCTGAGACTTCCTAATCTTGATTTGAGACAAAAACTCCCTGAACTGTGCAGGTAACCCTGCTCCTCGTCTGCTCTCTTCCGGCCTGGCCTCCACCATACCAAAGCCTTGCCAGCTGCAAGTTTCCATGGACATAGGGTCAGGGCATTTGTCACAGCAGGTGGTGCTGCTTGAAGTGAGAAGAAGGCAGAGTTCCCTTGTGGCTGGTGACATTGTCTTCCATGGTCTCTGCTGCGGTCAGTCTTTAGACATGAAGGTGAATTTCTCTGCTTGAAGGTGGAGATAGGATCACTAAGGTGATTTTGGACAAAGGACAGACACTGGCTATCAAGTTAATGATGGGGCTAAGGGTACAACCCTGTCTTCCTGTCCTAGGATTTTCATTCTTAAACTCATTCCTTTACAAAGTATCCATTGATTTGTTAGGAATCTAGGTTTAACAAAAGATTGAAAAAGGGCTCTTGATTATCTTACTTTAGAAAGTTTTATGAAGCTGGGGTCATTTAAAAGTAAAATGCCAATTTCTGGTACAGAGTAGGTACTCAGTACTTACTGAAAGAATGAATAAATCAACAAATAGGCATGCTTTTCCCTTAATATTAGGATTGATTGCAATACATGTCTTTCACAGTCCATCTGTTCTATGTAGGCCCTTTAAAAGTATGTATATCATTTCCCCGGCAGTGGCGATAACTCATTTTGCTCAGTGTGACTGGGCAGACAGCTTTACTTCTAGTTAGTCACAGAAACCCTTTTAATGTCTGTTTAATCAAAAACAAACCAAATCCTTAACTGCGTAAGTTCTTATAACACGAAGACCTTGCTCTCCTCCTAGTGATATTTATGTTACTCCCTAATGCACAAAGTGGGATTAAAAAAGCGGAGTTACGGGCTCCTTGTTACTTTCCCCAATAGTAACATGTTTCAGACGAAGCAGAAAGTTAATTTTAGGGTGTTAGAGTATGGGGATTTATCATACATATACAAAGCACTTTGCTGTACATTATTCCATTTGACCTTCACAATGACCTTGTGAGTGAGCGAGGATCCTACTTTAGACATGAGGAGATGGGTTCACTAGAACCCTGTGATCAGCCGTGGTGCCACAGACCGAAGGGGCAGCAGTGGGACTCAGGGCAGCATGTTTGGCCCCAGGCCCGGCAGGACCAGGCTGTCTTCTGCTAAGAGGACAGTGGTGGGAATGTCTCTCAGAAGGAATGCTGGCAGCGCCGGAGCCTGCTCTCCACGCGGTACTGGCTCACGGTTGGCCTTGTCTTCCCTGGAAAACTTTTTCTTCCATGGGGTTGTGGTTGGGGAAAGAGGGATCTAACCAGGTGGAAGGAGGAAAGTTGGTGGCGGGGGGGGAGGGGGACACCAAGGGAGGTCTTGCTATATCTTTCTGACTAATGGTGAGAGTGTGGCAAGAACATGGGAGAGAATAAGTGTGAAAGCTTCATCAGCTCTGCTAGACCATTTGAGCACGAGAGATGATCTCAGAGAGCTGATCCACCCCCAGAGGGTCGACTTCTTCCTGAGACTGGTGACTCTCTGTCCTCTGGGAGTGATGGGGTTTGACTGCCATTAAGCATGCAGTTGAGTTTCTCAGTGCGATAGTGCAAGTTTACTGAGGTCTTCTGCCCGTGACAGCCTTTTGAAACTTCTGATAGCCGATCAAAAAGGAATGATTCATGAAAGTGGTCACTTTTCTCCATTTGCTGAATGTGATAGAAAACCTTTGTGCAAGGTCACATCAGGGAGTTCATACAGCTTTAAGGCTTTGAGACCTGTACGACGAAGGCAGAGCCGACTTTCCAGGTGGCCAAAAAGTGCCCTTTTGACCTCAGCCAAGCACTGTAGGCATTTAGTAGCAGAGAGTCTGCTTCAGTGACCCTGCAAAATCCTCTGGTATTCCAACAAGAACCACTTCTTAGGTTTTGAAACACTTACCTCCTTGCCGTGGGTTTCTGAGTTTATTTTCCTGCTGTGTTACAGCAGCTAAAGGGAGTAGAACATAACCCAGGGCTCTGGGCTGTACTTGCATGGCAGAAGATTGTGAGTAACCCAGGGTGTAGGTTTACAGTAATCAATACATACGAACCGTCAGAGTTGGGTACTTATTCTGCACCTTGGCTCCCAAACCACCCTCATGCCTATTATCTCATAATCTTGTCCTCATATCATCCTTGTGATACTCTTGGGTTGGGGTGACCGGCGGAGTGAGAGAGGTGAATTTCCATGTCTCAGGTTCTCAGCAAAACAATAGAAAGCCGGGCTCTGATTTGGGGTCACCTGGCCTCCCCCTCCTGGCAATACATGTGGGTTCCTGGCCACTTTAGATGAAGGAGGTCTGCACAATGGAGGAAGTGAGTGGCAACAGGTAGGAGTAACTACTGAAGCCTGTCTGCCTGCACCAGGCTGAGCAAGGGGTTCTGTTGTCTCCCACTGATGCTGGTGATTAGTCAGATTGGACCACGAAGTAGAGAGATCGCCACATTACTGGCGGGTGCTGGGTTTCATTTCTTTTTCTCCCTCTTCACTCACCACCTGTATAATGGTTTTCATGTGCACGTGTTTTTCCAAACTAATAGTTTGGTTTCTTTTGTTTCTGTGACAAAGCAACAGACTGCAGGCCTTAGTCATGTCACCTCTGTGAAGGGCCCCGGCTGCCCTTGACTTGTTTTGGACACTTCTTTGCATAACCCAACACACTGACAGAAAGATTGGTGTTTTGTGTTTGTGTGTATGTTGGGGGCGAGGTGCGAGGGAAATCATCAAAAACACGAACATTTGGTATTTTCAAATAACCCTTCCCTGGGGCTGTTCTTTCCTGGCAGGATGACAGTGCCGATTTGAAGTGCCAGCTTCAATTTGCCAAAGAGGAAGGTTCCCTGATGCGCAAAAAGATGGCCAAGCTGGGGAGGGAGAAGGACGAGCTGGAGCAGGAGCTCCAAAAGTACAAGGCCCTGTATGGCGACGTGGACAGCCCCCTGCCCACAGGGGAGGCTGGCGGCCCGCCCAGCACCAGGGAGGCTGAGCTGAAGCTGAGGCTGAAGTTGGTGGAGGAAGAAGCCAACATCTTGGGTCGGAAGATCGTGGAGCTGGAGGTGGAGAACCGAGGCCTCAAAGCAGAGATGGAGGACATGAGGGGTCAGTGTGAGCGAGAGGGTCCAGGCCGGGACCGCACCCCGAGCATTCCTACCTCACCCTTCGGCGACTCCCTGGAGTCCTCGACGGAGCTCCGCCGACACCTGCAGTTTGTGGAGGAGGAAGCGGAGCTGCTTCGAAGGTCCATATCTGAGATTGAGGACCACAACCGGCAGTTGACTCACGAGTTGAGCAAGTTCAAGTTTGAGCCTCGGCCAGAGCCAGGGTGGCTGGCGGAAGGCGGGGGCAAGGGTGGGGTCCCCCTGCAGGAGGAGCTGAAGTCTGCCCGGCTGCAGATCAGCGAGCTGAGTGGGAAGGTGTTGAAGCTGCAGTATGAGAACCGGGTGCTGCTGTCCAACGTCCAGCGCTACGACCTGGCTGCCCACCTGGGCCTGCATGCCCCAAGCCCCCGTGACAGCGACGCCGACAGTGACACGGGCAAGAAGGAGAGCGATGGGGAGGAAGGCCGCCCGCCTCAGCCCAAGCGGGAGGGACCCATTGGCGGTGAGAGTGACTCGGAAGAGATGTTTGAGAAGACCTCGGGCTTCAGCAGTGGAAAACCATCGGAAGCCAGTGAGCCATGTCCGGTGGAGGTCCTGAGGGCCAGGGAGGACTCTGAGTGCTTGGTGAGCATAAAGCACGAGGCTGAGCGGCTGGAGCGGACCATGGAGAGCCTCATCATGGACACTGATGGCTTTGTGGATGACGTGGCCTCGCCAGGGCCTGGTGTCCAGGGGGAGGGTGGAAAGAAGGAGTCCCAGCTGTTGGGGACCATCAACGCTAGGATGAAGGCTTTCAGGAAGGAGCTCCAGGCCTTCCTAGAGCAGGTGAACAGGATTGGGGACGGCCTGAGGGAGCGCCTGGAAGGCCTGTCCCCCTTGCCCCACCTCACAGAGTCTTCCAGCTTCCTCTCCACCGTGACCTCCGTGTCCCGGGACTCCCCCATCGGGAACCTTGGGAAGGAGCTGGTCCCGGACTTGCAGGTAAGGGGGCTCCTGGCTCTGCCTCCCTGCTCGGTTTTGCTCTTCTTCCTTCTCGCTGGCATTGCTGCACTTGAACTCATTCTGCTCACAGCTGCTTGGTTATGATTTTAAACCTGCATTGTACTAAAGCCTCAAGTGACAACCAAATCCTTTCTATTGGTTGAGTTTCTTTTTCTTTTATTTTTTTAAGTTCTCTTTTATTTCCTTGTTTCTTTTTCCTTTTTCCTCTCATTTTTAACTGTGCCGTTGCCCTTGGCTTAGAGGTCCTCCCTCATGACACAAGGCTAATCCCAATGGAAGAGATAGGGATCGACGCAGTCCATCCTTTCTCCTTTTTTGGTGTCTCAGACGACCAGCTGTCCTGATGAAGAAGCAAAGTGGAGTTTAAAACAAAGTGCAAACTCATTTCACAGTCAGGATAATTAGCAGACTTGCTCAGGAGCATTTGCAACCCTACTTGGGTTTACTGCCAAGGGGACCCAGTACAGTTCTGAAAAGCCCTAGGCAGCCAGGCCCACCCGCCCCCACTGGAAGATGAGCCAGAATGGTTCTGATGGAAAACCTCGCTGCCGGCTTGCCCCTGCTGCCCTCCCGAGCGAGGGTGAGGGCGGAGTGGAGCAGCCCTCCCAGGACCGCTTTCCTATGCGTCGCCCTTGGGTGCATGACCCAGCTGCACCCTGGAATATGGCTTTGGCTGCTCGACCACAAGCAAGGAAGGAGCACCCTTGCTTCCGTATCCTTCGTGGGTAGTTTGCTTGCAGTTACGTATGTGATTCATGCATCCTCATTGCATGCGCCTCATAACCAGTGTTTTGCATCCCCCCGCTCTTTTTGCTTTTCAGATCTTTCAGCCCATCGTTTTGCTCATCCTCATTTTGGTTCTGTTCTCTTCACTCTCTTATGCCACAGTGTTTAAGTTGGTTTTCCTGTTCATGCTTTTCTTCGTCTGGTAGTTACCTCAGTTGTCTGCCTTACCCATTTTTGTTTTCTTTGTCCCTCCTCCCCACCCCACCCTTGTCCTTTGTTTTTTATCTAAAATTAAAAAACAACAACAACCAAATCCCTCCCGTGCACCTAACAGTCCAAACTGAGAGATCAGATGGAGTGGCAGCTGGGTCAGGAGCGAGGGGACGAGCGGGAGCACCTGCACCTCCGAGCCGCACGGGAGCTGCACCGCCGAGCCGACGGGGATGTCAGGAGCTGCCGCCTGGGAGGCCAGAGCTGTTTCAATCTCGAGGTTAGCGAGCTGGCTGGTCCCACTGGCCACCACTCCCCTCTTTTTACTGTGTAGATGGCTGTGTGACATTTCCTACCTGGGTCCAAGGCCCTTAGGGAACACAGTGGGAACCAGGGGACATAACTAGAAGCAACCAGAACTGGAGGGTCTACACAGGGTGAATGCAGGGAACTGCCAGCACCCCTTGTCAGGCATCGTCCCGCTCATAGACCTGGTTCTCCAGGGCTCCTGGGCGCCTAGAAATGTAGCAAGATGTGGGAGACTGATTTGTGAGCATCGTCTGGCTTCTTGTCAAACGGTAAAGAAAACAGAGAGAAAACCAAGCACTGTGTTTGCTAGTCTGGAGGAAACATCCTTTCCCGAGTCTCACGGGGCCTGTCCCATTGTCTCCGTTGATAGTGCTCCAGCTGCTGTGCGGAGTCAAGAAGTGCGTTCCTGACCTCGTGCTCTCCAGCAATCTATTGTTGCCCTGGTAACCCCTTGTCAACAAAGCTCTTAGCCACCATAGATACTCCATTGTGTGAAACGGTTGTCAGCAGTCCTGTCAGCGAAAGCTCCTCCATTCAAGTAATTCCACCCAGGATAGAAAGACAAGTGTAGCAGAGAAGTGAGTCCCTGGCTCCGATACTGCTGATCGGGGCAGGTTATTGCAGGGTTAGAGCAATAGGTTCCGCTTTAGAAAATAATCTGGATAGAGAATCTTAATTCATCAGTCCCAGTGGGGATGTTACCACTCAGCTCCAAGGCTTCCTAGTGGCTCCCAAAGGGCTGGGCGAGGAAGAGGGTGGGGCTCTCACACCTGGAAGCAGACAGATGCTCACTCCACAATAAGGTCAGACATTTGACTAGGAAATGAAGTGCACAAAGGCACTGGGGGTGGAGCAGCGCTTGGGCCTCAGCCTGCAGCTAATACCTCAGTTACGCTACGGGTCAGCTGGCTCACCAGACATGAGTTTTCATATCTCCAGCCTGGGGCTTTCCCCTTGTCCTATGAGAGAGTACGTCACATCTCTACGCTCGTTCATTTTGCATGCAGTAACATGAAAACTGCCTCCAGAAAGCTTAAGTGAAACCAAAAAGTTTTCAGAAGCATCCTATTTTGTCCCACCATCTTTATATTACCTTGACAGAGGCCAGGCTTGCCTGAGAAGGTGGCATCCAGGTCCCTGCCCCAGAGGAAAGTAAATATGGACCACACAAAGTGTGATAAGGAGGCATTCTGCATGCTAAGGGCCAAGCACATGTCAGGGCCAAGCTCCTAGAAAACAAGCAGAAGCCCAGCGTGCTCTGTGGGGCCGCCGTGGGCAGTCCACAGAGCGACAGGATGCCCAGGGCCCTCCCAGTCAGAAGCTTACAGTGCCCAGAATAAACAATTGTGATTTTTAAAAATGTTTTCTGAACATGGGCTTTGGACGTAGAGTCAGACATATAGCAAATCATCTTTAGTGTATTCTGATTCCAAAATTGCAGGGAAGATGTTCCTAGGTTTTATATCAGAAGTAAAACAGAACACCACACATTTGGGTTTTTCCTCAAATAATGTGATTAGTGATTAGTGTGTCTTGGAACTCTACGGAACTTTCACGATAAGCCCCTTCGATCAGCCCGAGCCCCTCAAGGATCTTCATACAACAATGCTGGTTGCTTGGGCAGTAGCAAACTCACAATTATGTACATTTCAAATGAATTGAATGGTCTGTCTCCAGGATGGAAACCTCAGGAAGACACATTTCCCAGCCTTCAGTGTATATTGCACCAATAGCGACATCTAACAGGGCCATCATGCTGTGCTGGAATCAACCCTAGCACAGGCATCAGGGCCCCTGGCTCTGGCCCTGCCATGCCCATTACTAGCTCTGTTTCTCAGGCGAGTGTCAGCCTCTGTTTTCTTGTCTATTAAACGGGGGTAACAATAATGCCCCGCCTGCTGCATGTAGTTACATGTAGATGACTCTTAGAGCCAATGAGCTGTGGACTGAAAAAGGATACTAAAGAGTACCAAATGCTTTATAAATGTCAAGTACAATTAATAATAAAGAGAGGCAAGTATGTCTGCCATTGAATACTGCCAGCTGGGAAGGGGAGTCACAGCTCCCCTGGTCATAGTACCAAATTTCCCTACCCGGTGTAGCCCTTTCTCATTTGTTCCTGGCTGTTTCCTGTTCCTGTTCCAGAAGCACAGCTCTGGCTGAGCATGGCGGCCCTCTTTTCCTGGTACGCTGTTTGAGGAGAACTGCAGCTTCCTTCCCATATGCTCTGTCACTCAAGGCATGTCACACAAAACCCTGTTTAGATAAACTCTGCTAACGTGGTGTTTAACGCTAGGGCACTGAGAAGTCTTCCTGTTGCTTGCCACATGAGTTCAGGTATGGCATAGTTCCAGAAACCAGCAACGATTTTAGAGGAAAATGCTTCGTTGAATCAAACTGAATGTCCTAGGACAACAAACCTCCAAAAGAGTTAGTTGGTGCTATATGGTGACTTAGGATCACTGAACAGTGTGGCTCATAATGGAAGGTCAGATCTTCAGAATGATTCCCTCATTCTGCGAATGAGAAAAACGAGGCTTGAGAGTGAAGCAGCTGGCCGGTCAGCTTCCTGGCGGTTGGTGGTAGAACTAGACCCGGAACAGTCTCCTCGGGCCTGGCCAGGCCTGTCCCCACTTGCCACTGAGGAGCACTGCTCTGTGTGGCAGGGACTGGGCAGCACTCACCCCCAGGCCCGGACACTCCAACCAGAGCTTCAGCTCCCGGGGTAGTTTCTAAACACGGGTCACTCAGGTGGACTAATCATGTGGCCACCTATCTTGCCATGGTATGTTTCTTTTAAGCATCTCTCTGGTTTCCTTTAATTTTGTGTATTTTAATAGGAAAGTTAAAAAAAAGAAAAAGAACTTCATGAAAGGCAAGGTCTAGGGAGCATCATTTCCTAGAAGGGGAACTAGTATGAATCAGAAATCAAATATCCTTTGTTGTGACTTCTTTATTCACTGAGGCATTTCTCACAGAAAAGAAAACCCAATTATGTATACAAATACATTGTATTTAAAAATATTTTTAAAAGATAACACACATTCTAGGATCATTTTGATAGCGCCATAGCTCTTCCTGTTCTTTGAGAAGCCAAAACGTAGACCGTCATGGAGTCTGGGTCTTTGGGGCGCTGCTCTGTCCCTTGGCTGGAGGTCACCCTGTAGCTTAGTTTGGTCTCTGAATATTACATGGGATTAAAGAATGGTGTGATAGACAGTTCTAGACCTTTTAATAAAAACTTCCCCGAATTCATTGCTCACAACCACTCCTACGAGGCTGTGATGGAAGCGGCACGCAAAGCTCCCATCAGTTAAGGCAGCCCAGCTGAGAAGCTGCTCCTTTTAATGACAGCACAGCGGCTGGGGGCAAGGCATATGAGACATTTCCTTCTAGAATGGGGACAAGACTGAAGCCAGAAAACTGCTAGCAGTTGTCTTTACTCCTTCTTACATTGCCCTCCCTCTTACATTGCCCTTGAAATTAACCCTAATTGTCTTTAAGAGCCAGCTACTACCACATGTGTGTGAACTTCCTTCAGCTCTGAGCTTAGCTCCTCAGGCTAGGGGGTGGGGCCTGGTAGGACACCTAGTATCAGTGGGCTAAAAAGAGAAACGACTTTCTGAATTTCAGCTGAACTTTTAAAAAAGAATCAATGTCTCAAGTTCCAAGATTTTTGCCTTGTAGATGTTCATATTTGGGGAATAAGGGAAAAGATAAGTTCTTATTTTATAAGATTTGGATATTTGGCCAGGTTAAATTGCTACTTCTCCTAGTAGTCCCAGTAGCAGCAGTAATAAGAAGAAGGAAAAAAAAGAAAATCAGCATTTCTACTGATTTTAGCAGACGGTAAATCTGTGAACTAGGAGACCTGCTGCTCAGACGGCACATACGCTAGGCTTAAGAAGGGAGTGGTTTCTCCACTCCCGGCCCTCTTAAAACAGTCACAAGCAGAGAGCTGAAGTCAGAACCCTCTAACACCCACTGACCCATTAGTACAACCACACAAAAATTAACTGCTCAGAAAAAAGAAATCAGAGGGACAGTATTCCTGTTGCCTGTTCATCTCAGTAGATACTAACATGAGTTTCACACCATGCATCGGATTCTTCCCTGACTTTGCTCCCTATGACTCCCAACAAACTGCTGAGAGATTCTCATTTGTTGAGAGAGAGCAATGTATAGAATATGTGGCTTGGAATGTGTGGGGCACCTTAAAAATAGTTCCGAATGAGAAGTAGCCAAGCATGGGCACTGGTCAGATTTCAAATATAAATGAAACCAAGCCTGTACCCAGAGGATTGAGTTTCTGGGTCAGAAATCTCAAAGGGCTCTCTTTCCTAACTCCCCCTTGATCCTTTAATCAACAGAGCACACAGCATTTGTGATCACTTATGCCTCAGCTGTGACATACCAGGCACGGTAAAATGATGTGGGGTTTTATGCCAAGTATGTGTACACACATGTGTTGACCTCATATACCACTTTTGGAAAAAGCAGTAACAAAACTGGCCGTAACAAAATGGAACTCACCAGAATACGAAGTCATGGTGATGGAGGTGGAATAGAGTCCTAATATGTAAGTAGCATTGCTAGGTATTGCAGTAGCTATTATGGAAAAGCATTCTTTTTTTTGTTTGTTTAATAGAATCGGTTAGCACAGTTACTTTCTTAAATGTGGGGAGTAATTTCAAAGCCACTCCCTCTGAAGATGTCCAGGAAATCAGCAGTGTAAATCCGTGTGGCACACAACCATGAGGGCAGAGCGTGGGCGGTGGGTTTCAGAACACGAACAGGGAAGGTGGTTGTGATTTTGAGATTAATAAGCCTCCGCAGCCTCAGCGTCAAGTAAGGGTGGTATTTGTTTAAATAAACTGCCTTCATAGAGACATCAAGATGAATTTGATGTATAATCAGAATCATAGGTAAGTGGGCAACGGGTGGTTTTCAAATGAAACCTTTGGGAATTTGGTAATGAAGGGAAGTGTTTTGTGGAGGAAATCTGTGTGTTGCGTGAAAACGTTCTTCGGATGTGTGTGACTGTGTGTGGCGTGTGGCAGCAGGAAACCAGTACTATAGAGTGTTTGTATTTTGTTTTGTAACACTGGAGTGACGCCATGCCAACCAGGAGCGCTTAGCTGTCCTTAGTAAAACTAACATCCCGTTAGCAAAAATGGACGATGAAGGAAAGTAAAGTTGTGATCGATGAGGAGGATCCAAAAGTTTCTGTTGGTGACCACTTTCCATGGACACCACGGGAGTGTCTGTAGGTGGGTGAGGTCCCCCAGAGGACTCCAAAGGCCCTGCCCTCCGACCCTCCAAGGTATGGTCTAACAGAGGACATGTTTTTAATCAAGCGACACCTGAAGCACAGGGCTGGTATGTTTGTTTAAAATAAAAATGGTTTATAGAAATGTTTATTAAGATTAAAGCTAAACTAAATAGTTCAGTGTGATAAATATAAACTAAACAGATCTTTGCCTTTCTTAAAAGATAAGTTTGTTTAGGATGCCTATTTTAACATCTAATATGGATCTTTGGGCTAGTACGAAATGTGTTAAAATATGAAGGATTTTACATTTTAAATGTATGGAGTCATATGTAACTGAGCAGCTTGGGTAACCTTAAAACGCTCCTGTGCAAAACACCTGAAGTGGCAGAAGGGAAGCGCGAGGAGGGCAGAGATTTGGGGCGGCCTTACTTACTGCTATATCCCCGGCATAGTGCTTTAGCACAATAGGTGCTAAGAAAATGCTGAAGAATGTTGAAGAAAATGCGTAAAATATAAAACGTCCTTTTAAATAGATAGCTGAAATCCCAAGAAAGAAAAATATTCAAAGGTTGGAATTGATCTCAGTTTCGAAAAGCAGAGCATATCTGTGGCCTTAGGTGGGTGAGTTGGAGGGATAGTTGCTAGAATTGGTATCTCTGAGCCTGGGGTTTTAATACTTCCAAAGAGACAAGAAACAGGGTCTTAGGCCCAACACGAGCAGGGAAAGAAAGGAACCCAGACCCTCAAAGAGCTGCACGTCATGAAAGGCCGAACCAAAGGAACATCTGCCTACTGGGAGAGGGAGGCATTGGGGAAGCTGGTCCGCCAGTGTAGGGTCTCCACTGAGTGACTGTGAGGACAGCTGGCCTTGCCAGGATCAGGCTTTGAACTGATGTCACCTGGAGGTCCAGGAATCCCCAAGGAAAGGAAAGCTTATATTCTGTTGCTGGCTTCTACAAACACAAAGCCCATCTGGAGGCACATTTTCAATCCAGGTCACATGCGAGATAATGGCTAACTCCCCGCTGAAGATGACCTCACAGCGCAAGACTGCAAACAAACTAGCCAAAAGCATGCACCTGGAGCAGGAGTCAGCCAATATCCAACAGCAGGATCCAACGCCAAAGACCTTCAGATTCCAGAATTATCAGATAAAGACTATAAGTGTGTTTGAAACTATGTAAGGCAAGTAAACAAGAGAAAAAGTAAGTCGTTATCGTGAAGAACCACATCTATTAAAAAAAAAAAAACAGTTAAGTTAGAACTTATAGCAATGAGATACTAGTTACTGGAGTTAGTTCAATGTGTTGAGAAATGCCTCTCTCCAAACAGAACCCAAAACTCTGCCTAGTAAATATAAAGGACTATAATAATAATCGCTAATAACTAGCAAATCAGAAGCAATAATGTTCTCGGTAGTTCTTGAGTTTCTTGAAAATAGAATGAGCTTAAATCTTTCAAAAGTTTTATCCCCAAATTGGTGAATTCCCAGCATCTCTGACTCCATTCTTTTGTAAACTCTTTTGGTCATCCCCTGAGCCAAGGGAAGTGATCTGCTCTTTTATTTTCTATATTTCCTGCTCTTTGGGTATGATTTTCATTCATGAAAATCCAGGTAACATCAGATTAGAAAGAGCAAACAATACCCTCAGTGAGAAATAACAGATTACTTAAGGGTAATCAGAACGAAGTAGTGAAATGACACTGATTTTTATTGCAACAATCCACTCTAATTCCTAGCTTTAAATCACCTATCTTCAGGTAGCAGAAACCAGTGAGTAAACGTCATACTTCAATTTGATGATGCCTGAGATTTTTTAATATAATGGTGTTTCCATCTCTAAAAAACACAGTTCAAGAGTAGTAGCTTTGACTCCTCTATCATTGCAACTTGGACATAAAAGTCATAAAAGATAAACTTCACTAATAAAAAGAATTTTAAGATTCCTCGTAGAATGTTTAACCTAACGTGTAGTCAGCAGCTCTTTGTACAGTACCTTTTAGGCTCCATGTGCAGTCGAGAGGCCCAAACAATGTGTCCGTTCACTGAAGGAGCCCACCCCAAATACTCTGAGCATCCAGAGCAGCACGGCTGGGAGAAAAGCAAGGCAGGAAAAACTATAATAAGAAGGCAAACGGACTAATTAATTATGCAGCTTAGACTCTACGCACGCGAGCTGAGCAGTCAATCTAAGAGAATGACTACGTGAGGTGATCATGCTCGACACTCATAATCGCCAGCTCTGATTGCCTCTGGCACTTTAAAACAGTCTAGAAGCTGCTGTGGTAGCAAAGACGCCTGTGGCATACACTGGCTCCCTTCTCTCAGCCCGGATTGTGGTGACTGTGGTGGCTGAAGCTCAGGTGATAGGCACCTCTTACCCACCTCGTCTCCAGAGAGACGAAAAGCAGGTGGCATGGTCCCTCCCAGATAACACAGGGGCACAAAGGCAAGGATCTCGGTGTGAGTTGTCACAGAGTCACTCCACTGCTGCAGCGGCCGCACGTGCTGTGTCGCTCCATGTCTGTCCCTGGTTTGTGCTGATGTCTGTCCTGCGTCTTCACCTCAGGCAGAATTCTTGCATCCACTAAACCCCTTCCTTTATCCCACTGAGCAGCTCAGGGGCCCCCCTGTTTTACCTGAACAGAGTGTATCGATAGAGGAGCTACAGGGTCAGCTTGCACAGGCGACCAGACTGCATCGAGAGGAGACAGAGAAATTTACAAACAAGATGCGAAAGGTAAATATGTAACACGGATTTCAGCACAACCCAGTCTCTGGCTGCAGAGCCTCCTGAGAGAGAGAAAGAGAAAGATGACAAGATGTGTTTTAAAAGAACGCTGTCTGTTGTGCACAGACTCCTGGACTTTACTGGGCTGGGGGCATATGGAGAGGTGGTCCAGGTGAGCTGCCCTCCTCAGACGTTTCATAAAGATAACGACTTACCTTTCTGCTCTAAAACATACTTTTCAATATTTACAGTGTGGTCTCAGGAAGTTCTTAATATCTAATCTAAATTTTCCTGCAGCTAGAACCAGCAAAATAAGGGCCCTAAATGCAACTGGAGATAAAAGTGTGTCCAACAACTTTTGTTGTCCTGCAGATTTGTAAGTTTTATCAGTGCTAGGTAAATTTTCTGATAGGAACATCGACAACTTACTCTAAATCGTTGTCTTTAAAAAAACTGCCATTAATTGAGCTGTGGCCTTATTAGCTCTTCTAGCTATTTTAGAAAAACTTGTTACTGGCTAATTATCCTTTATCCGTTAATCCTTTCCCAGAGTGCTTAGTAGAAGGGATTCACAGACACAGGCACTCATTGCCCGGGGCCTCCCCAGGGACTGTCCAGTTCCTGCCACCCCGAATCTAATTAGGTTGTAAACAGATATCCAGACTCAGCATCACCATTGCTTCTCCCTCCGCCCTTTTATTTGTTCTCAAAAGATACTTGTATAAAAACAAACAAACAAAAACAGTTAATCTTGAATAGGGCACCACAATGTTTCAACGTGCATATCCTCTGTAAAATAAGGTATCCAAGAACTTAACACATAAGCTCGCCTGCTACCCGTGGTCATGCTCATCTAAATAGGTCAAAACTGATTAAGGAAGTGCCGCCTGCACCTTGCAGCTTGGGGAGAGCAAAGCTGAATGCCAAGGTCTAAATGTGCTCTGCCAATCGTTACCGCTAGATGCACTTCCCTTTTAAACGTCTTATTTTAGGTCAAGTTTCACATGTTATTACAAATGGAGAGAAATTTTTTATTCCCCAAAAGGTAAACACCTAAGTAATTAACTTTTTTTTTTTTTTTTTTGCACTCTACCAAAAATCATGTTTGAGAGTGAGTTTATCCCTGGAGATGCCAATAGCAAAATCACAGGGTCCCAGTTGTTTCTAGTACTTGGATTCAGGATAAAGGAGTATGTTGAAGAGACTCCCAGAGGTCAGAGGTGATGACATGTCACCCAGGCTTGTTCAGAGGGGAAGGGTAAGTTTTCCCAAGGCTCTGAGCCTTGGGAAGTACTTGGAGTCCTGGAACAGGAGGCCGCAAAGGCAGTGGAGGAGAAGTCAGAGAAAAGTCAGGAAGGAATATTTCCCAGAGGTTGCCGATGAAAGGACTAAAAGAACATCTTCCCCCTCTAGCATCTCGACTTCACCAACTAATTCTCTAGTGCCTCTGGGGCACCTGCCACGAGCTAGGCACTCTGCACAGCATCTTGCCTTAGCTTCATTTTGCAGCTGAGGAAGCTGAGGCCTTCCCAGAGTCAGCTGATGGCCTAAAATGGCGTTGCAAGTAAATTGCAAACACTGGGTTTCCAGCACGCTAGGCTTCTGCCTTTCCTCACTCTGTTCCATTCTTGCATCCACAGGAGAGAGAACTTATGATGGGACTCCGAGGGCTGCTGAGATGGTGAATTAAATCACCACTATTTTCATTAAATCTGGTATTAGGACAATGACCCATGCAAGTGATTGCACAGACCTAGGGACTGTCCCAGAGCTGCCTCTTACTCTTCATTGGCCTTTAGCACAACAGTCTTGTTGATGTGTCTACCTCAGGCAGCCTTAATCATATTCCCATGGTTTTCGAACATTCATCTGGTACTTTAGGAAAACAAAACAAGACCCGCTGCCTTGGTTTTTGGCACAAGAGGGAGTGTTAAATGAGGAGAGGACAGCTGATAATGATAAAGCCGGCAATCTAATCCCACTTTCGGTCTGTGGGACAGAGCTTTCATCCCATTTTAGTTACTACAGATATTATTCTTGTGCCCTAGTCTGTAAATTAAGATTTTATTCGCGCCCTTTTGCTTAGTCATTATTGACACACAATTGCTTATCTCTTGGAAGAGTGCCTACATCTGTGCTGAAAAGCAGGCACTCGACGTAGAAATGGAAAACATTTCTTTTTCAGTAATGCTTTTATTTCCCTTAGAGTTACCCGTATCTAGTAGGAATGTGGTAGTAGGTTATGGACTTACCTTTCCTGTTTGCTCACCACTGTATGCAGTGGAGTAGTGCACGTTCATGTTCAGAGAGCCTGCTGGCCCCCAGCTCTTGCTAACAGGATCTCTGTTGGTCTCTCCATCAGCTTGCTGCTCCTCTCTTTCTGTCAGGGGCTGGGGGGCCAGAGGGCCCAAGAAGTCAAGGGGAAGGATCTCCATTTAGTCCCGCTTTACAATCACAATGTGCCTTTGTGTGCCAGCTTAGGTTCAGAGAGCAAATGGAATCTGCATGTAAGTCAGCTATAGCCATACGTCCAAGAAGCAATTTTCCTGAAGGCATTTAGAGACATCTAAAAATACTACTAGAGACTTGACCATGAAAAATGATTATAATACCTTACCTTGAAATAGCACTTGCCTTTGAATCAGAAAACTCATGAGGTTTTATAGATAGTAAACATCTCAAGGAGTTTGCTTAACTTTTGGTGGCTTCTGTGTTTCATATCTCACATGCAAAAAGATATAGATTGAATGGCAGTTCACAAAAACTCATGGTTAGGTTTGGATGGCAAATTGGGATATCTGCTTGTCACAGTCTTTCCTTTCTTCTGTTCAAGATGGAGGAGGAGCACCTCTGTGCCTTGAGGTGGAAAGAACTGGAAATGCACAGCCTAGCTTTGCAGAACACCCTCCATGAGCGAACCTGGACTGATGAGAGGAATCTGATGCAGCAGGAGCTCCGGTCTTTGAAGCAGAATATTTTCCTTTTCTACGTCAAACTCAGGTGGCTGCTGAAGCACTGGCGGCAAGGGAAACAGATGGAGGAGGAAGGAGAGGATTTCACTGAGGTAGCTCCACCTGGAGGGCTTGTTTTTGTATTGGTTTTGTTCTTGATCCTGCCCCTGACACTCCTTCTCCCTCCCCCTGCACACAAAGTCATTTTCTATTAGTTCAGATTATTTTGTCAAGTCCACCCCAGGCAATGGAGATGCAGTGGGTTGTCCAGTCATATGTGAGACCAAGAATTCTGAGCTGTCCTTTGACTTGGTTTTAAGAGTATATGAGTCGATATCTCCATTCTGCAACGAAGTTTTGCTGCCATCTCTTTTGTTGCTGGTCTATGAATTCATTCAAGTGATCATCCTGAGATTCTTGACTGTCTCATTCTACATTGCTGGTTTGTAAACCTGTTTTCTCTCCTCTTTTCGTTTAAGTTTTTTGTCTCTAAATGCCAGAGCCTGTTCTGCCAACGCAGTTTTATAACAGTCTCTTCTAAGCTCCAGATGGGTTACTTTTTTGCCATCTCTGAATGTGTATGTTCTCATAAGAAAGAGAACATGCCTCAGTTCCCAGATTCATGAGAACCAGAACAAAGTTATTTGCTTTCAGATGGATTTTATTGATTAAGTCAGAGTGACCCCAGCTCTGCAGGCTCCTTCCTGGCCTTGCTCTCTGGTGAGCACAGGGCTGGAACCACTGGTGTTCGGTGGATCTGCACTACTGGGCTGCTGTGCCGGCTGCTTCAAGGCATTGTGACTCTTGGTTTCCTTTTAGCTCCGAAAGACTTTTCATCTGCTTTTCACTCTAGTGAACAGTGCATGCAATTTTAAGTCATCCTGTGAATGGAAAGGTATGGTAATTCTGTTTCCTCAAGGTGAAGAAAGTCTTCCAGTGTGCTTCCAAATATCCATGACATAGAAAAGCGTTATCAAGAAAAACCTGAGTTGTAAAGTTTCATGTTGATCAATCTTTAGAGTTCCTCCTTTGATTTATAAAATCATAACTATAAGCAGTAATAATTTATAAATAGTAAAATTTCTAATCTTTTCTAGTATTTACTACATTCTGTGATATTTAAATGGAGAAGGTAGCCAAGAGTATAATGGCCGAAATGAGCATCTTAGCGGAAAAGGCTGCAAAGTGAAGACTTGATAACCCATAAAGTAGATAATTCTCCTCCAATCATAAAAATCAGGCTGTATAGCAGAAGGATTCGGATAGAGCAGTGATCATTATCTCCTGCTGTTTTCAGGGTGAGCATGCAGAGCCCCTCCCCAGACTTGGTGAGCTTGGAATCCAGGGGGACCCAAACGGGGATGGCCCAGACCAAGACGATAATGATCTGGGCTGCTCTTCGATGCGGGAGCATTCTCCGCACTCTCCTGTGCAGATCGGCGACCAGGGATGTCGGCTGCAGTCTGCAGATGGAGGGCAGTTCCACAGGCAGGTGGGTGCCAATGTCTCAGCCCCTTGTTCTGCCCACACCTGGGAGAGGAGACTCCTACTCAATGTCTGTGTCATCTTTTATCATGGGCTGGTGTTCTGAAGAGCAGAAGTTTTCTAACTTCTCTGGCTGACTGTGGTTGCCTGTTGCTGTATTTTTGCTAGACATCTTGTCAGTAAGGCTTTCATGTTAATGTCAGCCCATTAGTTTATTTGGCTAACATTTAGAAATAAGGGCCTTATTTACACATTAAGTAATAAGATCAGGTCAATCGTATCCCCTCAAGGCCAGCAAATGTGCCAAGAGAAAACAATGCATCCTGTAGAGTGGTCTGCGGCTTTACAAAGGTTGACTGTTCTTCCAAAGAGGCAAGAACGCTGAGTGCAGAGATCTCACTGAGCCAGAACTCAGAACCAATAGGTCTCTTCTGTCGACGTTTAGCTGAATGGGTATTGGTAGTATCACCAAGTTGGTAATGTAATGCATAAGGAGGAAAGAACAAGTCTTTTTTTTAAAAAAAGAAAATCCTCAAACATGTATAAAGTGTTTCAGGTATGTTTGGAGCCACTTAAAATATAATGCCGCAAATAAAAATATTTGTGACATTTCTTTAAAAAATTAGTGTGTGTAAAGAGAGGTAGGATTTCAGTGTATAACCTTAAGTGATTATTAGTGTTACCAAAGGCCACATTTATTAAGCACATAGATCCTGCTTAATAAAGCAAAAGATACTATTGATACCACCCGGATGTTTTGCACTCATACAAAATGGCAGCCATAGTGGGTTTGGAGTGTTGAGACCGTGGGAGGTCCCCAATGTTAAAGCTCTCTCCTTCCAGACTTCCTGATCTGGGTCTTTTCTGATCTTATGTTGCTTCTCTGAGGCTTCCACAGAGCTGAGCCTCAGGCCCCAAACCCGGATCTCTGGCTCCGGGGTGAGGAGCAGGGGCGAGTGGACCTTAGGTGCAGCAGTCACTCTGGGCAGGTGGGCGAGGCTGCAGCCGTTCAACCTCAAACATTTTGGGGCACTCTCTCTGCACTGGACTGCACAGCTGCGGCCCCTCCTTCTGCCCAGAGCCTCTGAGGGTCAAGTGGGAGAGGGCTGTCATCAGCACTTCAGCTCAGATCCAAGTGAGGAAAAGCAGTGATGTATGAGCATAGGCCTAGGGGAAATGTGTATTTTCTCCTTACTGCTTTCTTTCCATCTACGAATCAGATTTTCACAAACAAAGAGCTGTTTTCAATGCACCCCCCATCCACCCTTCATTTTCCCTGAGTAATATGACTCAAGAAAGAGATTATACTTTCAAAGCAATTTTTAATTAGTTATTAGGAAGTTTGTCATAATGCCAGTGTCCATGGGGAGATTTTAGCTCATGGTATGAGTTTTCCAGCAATGACTTTGTTAGAAAATAAAATGCTACCTTGCAAATAATTCTTTAAAATATACCAGTTTTATTATTTTTAAATGAGATGTTGGCAATCAATACTATAAAGTATCCATGATTAACTCAAATAGTATTTCTTGATTGTCACTTAGTCGTAAACCTGCTGTACTAAGATCACGTGTTGGGTGTTTCCCACGCGTGTGTCCAAATGCTTTGGAAATAGAAAAAAATGTAAGACATCTGGTTTTCTAAACAATAGTCATGGAACATTTTACCCTTGGGGTGAAAAATAATATAAAGTCACTCAGCTGGAACCTCACATTCGGTGTATTTTAATATCATTTCTTCCTCTTCTTCCAGTACTGATTTTTTAGCTCTTCCCCTTACGTTAGAGATGGACCCTTGAGTTTCTGCTTCGCACAGTGTGCAGTAGAAGCACGCGGATGGGCTTACAGGGTGGCGTTCAGCCGAGCAGAATCGTCTGCCTTTAATGGACCCGTCTCTCCACAGTAATTAAGTACACAATGCTATCCGTCCAAAGACAGAAGATTAATGAGCTCTACTGTAAGCAACAGCTGGTTCCTGAGAGCAAACGTTCTCAGTCAGGTTTGCCTGCCCTTTGGTGGCCTGGGTAGCGGGCAGGCAGCCTGGATGTCTTACAGAGTCACACCATTTTCCAAAACTCCGAGACCCTCCCCAGGTGATAAGCAGAATGAGAAATGTGGCCTAACTTCTTTCCCAAGGATAAATTTACAAGCAACATTTCCCAGGCCATGATCTTTGCTTTGCGTCATATTGAACATTCTCACAGTTGAACACAGTAAATAGCAACATTTATCATGTCCAGAAAGATTAAAGAAAAAAAAAAAACAACTACATAACTACATGTATCAAGCCAACCTTGGAAATAGTTCATGAAAATCATCAGGTTGGAAACGTTTGGTTCTGAGAATGTTCCCTGCTGACTGATCTATATAATCTAGCATCAGTGACTTGATTGTCCTCAAGAACAGTAAGCACTTTCAGTTTGGCCAGCCTCGTGGAAGAGCAGCGGCTGGAAATATGCAAGGACGTGTTGTATATTTCTCACCAAGCTCCTAGACCCTTGCCACTTCTTGCCACCACGTTAAGCTTTTGAGACTAGCACCCCTAAGGCTGTGTATGCATTTCGTATTCATCAGAAATTCCTAAAATCAAGTTTTTTTAAACACAAGGTGATTAATAGTGCCAGAATTATGACCCTGTGGTTCCAACAGCTAGTCTTCCCAGAACTGGATTAATCTATTAAAAAAGAAGTTACTTCTTCATTCAGAGATGTGATACAGTACTCTTTATTAAAGCATCTAAGTGTAAAATAAAGAACCCAATTTAAAATTCAGAGCAAGATCTAGCGAAATTATGTTTCATATTAGTCTTCAAGTCTTTGACCGGTCACTGAAGAGTCCCACGGAGGATCCAGTCTTGGGACTAAGTAGAATCTGCTTCCTAGGCCTTTGTCACTGATCCGGGGCTCATCTACGGCTCCTTGGACCTCTTAGGCTTCAGCTCACCTGGGTGCCCAGCAGCCTACTTTATGGCTACCCACCTTCCTGCTTTGCCCTAGATGCGGAAACTTCCAAAAAGATTGCCTCTTCCAGACAAGGCCTGTACTTCAAAACTATGATCTGCCCTAACTTTTTTTTTTTTTTTTTGTAATAAGAAAACTCTCCTCTTGATCCTAAATGGCTTTTACATTTCATTTTGAATGTTGTACCATGGTTTATTCTTCAGACTCTGTAACTTTCTATCCTCACCCAGGAGATGTGCAACTCTATATAAAAGGAACCATACCAGAGCATTTTATTTTTGCTGTGCATTTTTATATGTTTGTCTCTGTTACTGTGGAAATAGCATTAGCTGAGGATGAAAAGTCTCAAATCCTAAAGGAGACTTAAGGAAAGGACTCTTTCCGCCCCATACCCACCTCCCAGAGTTAACCACGGTTGGCAGTTTAAGACATGCCTTTCAAAGTGCGTAACAAACTTCAAACCTCGCTGATGAGTATTTCTTCCCAGTTGGCCACTTGATTTTCATCAGACCTGCCCTGTTTCTTTGAAGCCTTTGTCTGCTACCTCTGTGTTTATAATCTATTAAATATATGTCCATTAGTTGTTTCACACACCCACATTTATCCTTAGAAAACTCTCAGTGAAAATTATGGTGGCCTGCAGGCACAGAGCCTTTGTGGCCAGGATCACCTGGTATATTCTCAGCCAGAAGCAAATGGTTTCTGTACATAAATGAGTCTATCATCTCTGTAAGCCACAATCATAGGTTATATTTTCAGGGACAGTCTTCAGTGACTCATTGTCTTTTATCGGTGAAGGAATAATGATTCTAAAAAGGAATCTTAAAATTAATCGGAATGTAACAATGAAGGTAAGAATGACAAATAACTTATTTATTAAAATGCTTCTGGATGTGCAAATGTATCCTTTCTGGTTTGTCTCACAGAAAAGGACTTGTCTTGGGACTCTTGCTGTTAGAGGAGTTACTTTTATTGAATGTGGCATGAGGTCTCTCTCTTTATATGTATCAAATAGGAACTATGCAGTGTGTTTGGCAGGTCAGGGGCAGCTACCAGAGCATTCCAGAACTCCCTGCCTATGTCTAATAGCCTAAATGAAGGGGAGGTGGAGGCTATCACCTCTATTTTGTGACTGGATTTTTGTAGATCAGCCTTAGCCACAGGTCCATATATCTGTTCCAACTTCAGATTAAAGCCAGTTACAAAGTTGACAGCTTGGATGCGAGCAGAGGTAGTTGATGATAGTTTAGCTCTTTCACAGAATTATGATTCACAGGTCTTAGAAATCTTAGGCAAGAATGATTTTGTAAAATTGCTGGCATTGCATCACAAATAGCTTGGTATGTTACCTTTTCCGTAAACTTTTTTTCACTTTCTAGTAATAATATTTATCGTATACTTAGACAGCAGTCTCTTTGGCTGATGTCTAACCTTGAACCTGTTATAAAGTTTAACACTTTATAGCACAGTCAAGCTCCTGATTCCAATTTAGGGATTATTTTAAGCCTCACCAAAGAAAGATGAGCTTAGAAGGGCTGAAATGCCCTTAGACTGGGGTGAAGAAATAGTGGAGCCATTTTATTCTGCTTTTTTGCAAGAAAACCAACCAGCTCATCTGGAAGAGATTGAAAAGTTGATCTTTTTTAATTGAAATTGATCTATACTTAACAGATACATAAACTGAAAGGTTGTATAGCTGGGCTTCTGGTACAGAAGGTTCAGACACTATGCATCCAAGAAGACTGTCACCTAAAAACCTTTAAATAGACCAGAGAGTCTTTGATCCACTCATGCCTTGATTTGGGTCATCTTTTGACCCAAAACATAGCCCAATAAGGGCCACCGCCAGAGAAAAAGTGAGAGAAGTAACTTCTAGGTATTTTTTGGCGGGGAAGGGGGTAGATCACTATTATTATTTCCCTTGATATGGAGGATAAAATTCATTTCACGGAGATTGGATGGCTTCTCTAAGGTCAACTTAAAAAAAAAAAAAAAGCTAGGCAAGGAATGATGTCAGAATTCAAATATCCTGGTTTAGTTTGTTCAGCCTGGGATGGAACAGACCTGGATTGCAGTCTGGGCTCTATTCCTAGCAGTGAGACGTTAGCAGTACCTTCACGCTGTGGTTCCTCCTCTACAACACGAGGAACATGGCAGTATGAAGCCAGGATGGATGTGAAATGTAAGGTCATGTAGGTGAATGATTTAGCATACCCCCTGGCCCACTGGAAACAATATTAATTATCATTACTGGGGGTTTTGTACATGAAAAAAAAGCTATTTAGAAGGATTATGCCCCTTTATGGCTCATTCTGGATCTTTAGAAATTTTTACTGGGACATCAGTTCTTGCTTCTGTACACCAAGGCAGAGTGATAGTGTGGTTTCTTGCCATGCAACATGCTGCCCCTGGGTGATTATAGTAACAAGTACCAATAGCTTGGACTCTCTGAGCTCTTGCTCCCTTGGCTACTTTTACCCCAAAGCAATTTTGAGCTTCTTTCGTAATGATGAATATTGTACTGATATAATAGAACATAATGTTGATTACTCTAACCCAAATGTACATGAAAACATTAAGGCTAAATTTTATTTCCTCTGATATATGCTAATGCAAAAAAGTGATTACTTCCAGAGTAAGTACTTCTACATTTTCAGTCTGCGAAAGGACTGGCACATGAACCCCTGCTTTCGAGGGGTACAAGTTCTGGTCCTAACATTGTCAGAGCTGTTTGGTTTAGGGCTAAAACCCCCAAAGGCTGACCACATAGGAGACTTGGGATTCTTAAGGAGCTATCGATTACATGTTAAAATTTCTCATATGATTTTCTACTTTTTCTTCAGTGACAACTACTCCAAAGACTGAATCAAAATTATTATCATTATTTTATGCTCAAAATGCTTTGACTTAAAAAGTAGTGATACTTAAAAAATTTTAAACTCAAAGATGAAAATACCAAGTAAATCTACAATAAAATATACATAATCTTTCAACAGATACTATACTTAAGATGGTGTGTATTTCTGAAAAGATTATTGCAACACCTCTTCTCACTCACCTGTACTTATATAGTTTTTAAATACTTTCATTATAGAGTTTAAAGAAACTATTCTGCATTTATTACAATTTCATATATTTCACAAGCATCTTTTTGAGTATAGTAGTAATTTATCTATATTCAGATGGTTGGAAAGTATTCAAGGTAAGAAAAATCAAGAAGTAATAAATGCTAACAAATAGACCTTTCTACTTGGTTGAAAGTCTACTGTATCTAATACTGTAGCTCTTCGTATAAATTATGGAGGCAACTGGAGTTTTCAGTAAGTAACAAATCTGCTCAAGTTAAAGAATTTCTCTTTCCTAATTCAACTTTATTTAAATCCAAACATACATGCAAAGTATCTTAAATTCTTCCCAAATGTGTTTGACCATGTTTGTATATGTACATGTGTGTGTTTAGTGGATTCACTAGATCGTTTCAAAAGCACACTGACTCCACACGATAGAGAAAAGGCGACGTGTGTGCAAATCCCAAGCTAGAGACGCGAAGGGCCCTCTCCTTGCTGCTCTTAGCATGAGAGTTTTATCAAGTACGGGGGATTTGCCTGAGAGTAAGGGCTCTGTCTACCCATGGTGGAGACAGCCTGCATCCAGCAGGACTGAGAGAGCTTTTATTCTGCCTGCCTCATAAATGTATTGAACAAGTTTGCCCTGAGATCGTCTGAGAGCACTTTTGTGTTTTCTGGAGATGGGCTCCGATTGGAAGAGATGGGCTCATGTGGTTTTTGTTATTCAGGTATAGAATTGATTCAGTGTATTTAATTCATTTGGACTAATCTTTCTGATAAAATACCCTTGCTGAAACATACTGAGATCGCTATCATGGTTTTGAAATGTGCCTTCAAAGGGCAGGCCAGTTTTTAGAAAATATAAAATCTTTAAGTTAGGTATAAGCAGATTAGTAATAAAAATCCATTTTTCATTTATCAGACCTGTTTGCACACTTCACAGGAGCCGAGCATTGTGGGAAACACGGGAAATGTGGGGCGGGTCAGGCTTTGTCTCTCCCGGGGGCACTTATAGTTGGTGGTACAGGGACGCCGGGTAGACAAGTAGGAGCTTTGGTTTTTTCTGCTGTTAGTGAAGTGGAAAGGAGAGGGCCAGTTACTTCATCTCAGTGGACCACAAGGAAGCCTTCACGAACAGGTTAAGCATTTACTGTTGGCTTTAATTATTAAATCTCAAAAGTCTCCTCTGGCCCATGGCCATGCTTGTCATATATATCACCTCTTAGTAACTACAAGTCAGAAGATGACTGCTCTATGTTTACAAGAGACACTAGACCTTTATTAATTCCCTTCTGGTGCAACAGCTGGGTTTAAAATGACAGCATACATAGGTAAGTGTTTGTATTTTGTTATATCTACATCCTTAGGAGAGCTTTGGACGTCTGAAGTCACACAGAGCATCCTGGACGCCAGGGCTCCCTGTGGCCTCCTGTAGCTTCCTTCTGCTCCAGGTTCCCATAGCACCAGTCTGATCTGGCCCCTCCTATTCCAGCAGGCCTTTAGCAGTCTCATCCCCAGGGGACCGATGACCTGCATGGGGACCCCCTGGCTCTGTGCCCATTGTCAGTGGCATCTTAGGAACGGCCCAGCACCGCCTTGATTTCCAGGCTCCTCTCCTCTTCTGGCCTAAAGAAAACCCTTTCATGAGGTTGCAGAGTCGACCCCCCTGTCCCCACAGATGGTGGAAAACCAGCAGCTGTTCGGCGCACTGAAGACCTTGCTGGAGGACTTGCGCTTGGAGCTGCAGGAGGACGAGCACGCTCGGCTGCGGCTGCAGCAGCAATACGCCAGCGACAAGGCTGCCTGGGACGTGGAGTGGGCTGTGCTCAAGTGCCGCCTGGAACAGGTACCTGGCCCGCCCAAGCTCCCCTGGGACAGGTTAGGAGGAAGTACGGTTACTCAGATCCATAGTGAGTCTAAGAGAAAGAGGCCTCCAAGGAGAAAACCAGGAGCAGCTGCCTCCTGTCTCTTCTTCAAGCTCCCAGCACTTCTAAGGCACCTTCTTCTCCCCTTACTCCCCACTAAGCAGCATTTTTCAAAGTAGCATTTGTTCTCCCATTCCACAGTGAACAAGGTTGTGTTTAGCCCCAATGAAGGTCGGCCAGCATGAAGTTGTGATCAGAGTGTGCTGACATAATTTAGACAGGAGCTATGAAAAAGCAGATTGTAGTTTAGGCTCTCTGAAAAAGGTAAACATGTGCTTTCCTTTAGATTTCTCCAAATACTGAAAAGAGCTATAGACTTTCCACTACATGCCCTAGAAGTCTAATCAATTTCAGTGTCTCTATTTACACCAAAGGAAACGGAGTCCCAGAAGTTGCTGGTCTCCAGTTACAGAGCCTAGTGCTCACGGGGGCAAGGGAAGGGGGGCAGGTTCCTGCCCCACACCCCCAGTGGGGTGGAGCCTCTGGAGTGATTTTAGACTTTGGTAGGATTGTTAAGATCAGACTGAGACAGAAAATTCTTTTCTACAATTTCAGAAACATCTCCCTGGAAATCCTAAAAGCTCTGTCACTTTCTACACAGTGTCTGCTTGCTCAGATTGTTTCTCCAGACCCTTGATCTTGATGAGGGAGGAAAGGTCTTTGCATCTTTGATAATCTATTTTCTAGGCCCCATTTTGAGGCAAACCATAAAGTAATTAAAATTTTATGTGAATTGGCTCGGTCCTGTATACACACACACAAAATTGCCCAGAAAGGAGACATCTTCCGGCCTTAATAAAAGATGAACGGCCCTGTCATGTCAAAAGAAAACAGCCCCCCTGTTCACCTGCATTGCCACCTGGCTCAAGGGAACATTGGTGTCAAGCTCACAACCCTAGGAAGAGTGAAGACACACACAATCTTCTCTGCAGGAAAGCTGCAAAACATAGGAAAACCAAAGCGGCAGGCAAGTCTGGTCAGATAGCTCAGCCTCTGACCCAGTTACAAACCCTGCCCACTGCCTGGTATTAGACTCTTACTAGATGCTGTGTTTATGTTAGGACACATCCTGAACAGTCAGCAGCAGAGGAAGAATGAGTAAGGACACTCTCTGATGAGCAGCTGCCTTTAAACTTATTTAAAAATATGTTTATGGGAGAAAAAGCTAAGTATTTTCAAAGACATAAGTATAGCTAAGGAAAGGAGGCATAATCTTTGATGCAAGTCAAATTCAAAACATTCCATCTTTGTTTTAGGGGAGCCTGGTATCTACCCCCTTTTTTGCACAAATAAAGCCTCAGGGAGTATCATTAAACACCATTAAATAAAGCTAGGACTTCAAGCCTAGAAGCCAGGTGGTGATAGGTAAAGATTCATCTTCTGCCCAAATTGCTTAAGAAGTTCTTTAAACATTTGCCACACAGGAAGTAATGAATGTGAGTGAGGCCAGTTCATTTATAATAGTCCCATTTTTACCTTCTTTTTAAAAGCAAAACAGATGAATTTTATGAAAAGTTAAGTATTTTCTCTCAGGGAAGGCCATTTTGTGTCAATTCACAAGTCTGTGATACCTTCAATTTACTCCTCAGTCAGACCTTAGTCTAAATGCCAAAGATCCAGTAACAAATAAGATATTTCTTGACTGGATTCCTAATGCAGTCGGAGACCCAGACAAGGGCTATAATTTTTAATAGTGTGACAAGTGCTCTGCCAGGCCTGTACAGAGGGCTGCCAGGGAATTGGGGCATGCAGGGCACACACTTTGACTTGAGGGTTTAGGAAAGGGTTGTCCCTGAAAGTCCTATTTTGAATGAATTTCAGAGGATGAATAGGAGTGGGTGCACCAAAAAGGAGAGGATGTGTCAGACAGAAAAAGAACACGGTGAAGAAAGGAGCATGTCACATCTGCAGAGCTGCACCTAGTCAGATGTGAGAGAGAAAAAAGGAATGCTCAAAGAATTGAAATGATAATCCTAATTTTATCATGGAACTAAAGCATTTTGACTTGCTTTTTAAAAGGTTATTCTGGCTTCAAGGTTTAGAGAATGGATTAGAAACCATCAGATTTAAATGGATTAAGATGGGTCTTCCAGTAGAATTCAGGCATCTGCTGAACTAGAATAGAAAAAAAAAATACATTGGTAATTTCACGAATCTTTAACTAAAATTTATTATGTTCTCCAACAATAACATGCTCCCATTCGTCTCTCCTGTCCTCTGTGCTATTGTCATACAGCTTACTTCTACATGTTCTAAATACATTGCAACTATTTTTGCTTTAGACAATCAGTTATAGTTTGAAGCAATTAAAACTAGGAAAAATGACTTTTATATTTGCATGTATTTATGCCATTTCCAATGTTCATTTTTTGTGTAGATCAGTGTCTGTTGGTATCGCATCCTTTCTTTCTGAAAAGTTCTTCTATCATTTCTTGAAGTACAGTTCTGGCTGGCAATATTTTTTTTTCTTTAAATTTTTATATGTTGAAAAAGTATTCTTTTTCTTTATTTTTCAAAGATACTGTTGTTGACTATAGAATTCTGTCAAGATTGCTATTCCTCCCCCCACCATGTAACCCCTTTAAAGATGTCACTCCATTGTCTTCTGACTTGCATAGTTTCCAAGGAGAGGTTTGCTGTCATTCTTGTCTGTTTGCCTCTGTGTGTGGTATCTTTTTTCTCAGTCTGCCTCCAAGGCTTCTTCTTTGGTTTTCAGTAGTTGAATTTATGTCTGGATGGGTGGGGGTTTTTTTCTGCTTGTTTGTTTGTTTTCACTATTTAACCTCCTGGGTGTTTGACAAATATTTATTGTGGGTGCCTAGGTTCCATCACTGCTCCATCACCAGGTTCCATGTCGGGGCTAAGAATATAGAGACAGACGTGTACCTGTCCTCAAGGAGCTCTACAGAAGGACAGGCAAGAAGTGATAGTGACTCAGCGTAGGGAAGCGGAGCTGAGAAGCGGACTGAGGGAAGCTTACCATTCTATGGCAAATGTTCATAAATAGAACTTTAAAAGTGAAAATGGTTTCTTCCATGGGATTGGTCAAATCTTGGTTTAAACATGTTTCCAGGGATAATGCATTAATGCACTGAGATTTTTATTCACCTACAATGTAAAACTTGGTGCAAAACTCAGTTCCTAAGTTTTTCTCCTTGACAGCTGGAAGAGAAGACTGAGAAAAACTTTGGAGAACCAGGTTCTACCACGGACAACAAAGGGGCATTTAAGAAGGAGAGGGAGACACATCAGAAGCTCCTCGCTGACAGTCATGGCCTGGTCATGGAACTGCGCTGGCAGATCCATCACAGTGAGAAGAACTGGAACCGGGAGAAGGTGGAGCTTCTCGACCGCCTGGACAGAGATCGGCAGGAGTGGGAACAACAAAAGAAGGAACTCCTGTGGAGAATAGAACAGGTAACGAAGCACCCAGACATTGGAGAACAGGGAAGAGAGTGGAGATGGCTAAATTGACCTGGAAATCAGAGAACTAAGGAGGGAAAAAAATCAGGCTGCTCAGAGATCCTTAACTACATTAGGATGTTTCTTGGGTCTCCAGAGGAAGAGGAAGAAATAATAGAACTTTTAGTATTGGAGACCTGGGTTCAGCTTTTCCATTATACAAATCTTTTCATTGCAAAGTTTGTAGGTAACTTTCCTGTGTGTGTCTGTGTGCAGTGTGTTCGTATGTTCAGGGGTGGGGGTGGGATTACTTTTAAACAGAATTTAAAGACTAAACTTGAAAGATGAGGTTATTTCAGGTCTTACAAAGTGATTTCTGCCAAAAAGCAAATTAACTTTTAAATTTGCCACTAAAAATGTGGTCACGGTAATTGCTCCAGCTCGAATGGAATTGTTGTCCATTAGTAAAGAAACTGCTAAATTAAGTTGGAAGTCAGGCTATTTGCACCTGCTGTGGATATTGCTGAGCTGTAATTAGATAGAACCATAGTCAGGGGAGGTAGCTGGTAGCTCATTGTCCTCAGCTAAACAAATGATTCAAAAACTCAGATGAGACAGAATTGTTTTTCTACTGCTCAGATCATCATTCTCTGTATTGCATCAGACTTAGGACAGTTTGCATAGTTGTGGTTGTGCCCTAAGTGATGCACAAATTACATTTTCACATTAAATTATTGAAGGTTTGGAATTCCTCCCTGGCCGAATTTTTACATAGCGTATATTTTATTTATTTCAGCCTGTCACATTTATAAATTCATGAGGCCTCAAGGAAACACATTAATCAATAAGAAACTGAGTTCAGGAAAAATGACCTTATTACTCTATTTCAAATACCCATACTGCCTGCATTTATGTAGGAGCCTTTTGAAAAATGTGCTCCATTATCACCAGACATGGTGCCTGTGTTATGCAGGTGCAGTGGTAGAGGTTAGTTTCTATATACCGTGGGAGAGTGAGAGAGGAAGAATAAACTGAGAGATTTGGAGCCTTTGGCTCAGAAAGCCTTGAGAATAAGGAAGTGCACCACAGATAGCTGAAGTTCTTCCTAGGTAGGATTACTCACACACCTGAGTCATTATCTTGAAATTCGATATGTCTCATTTCAGAATTCCCCAAATTCTATCAAAGGAAAGTCGGCCACTTCCTGTTTGGCCTAGAAATGCCAGAACTTGAGGAGAATCTTCTGTATTAAATCCCCTGTACACTTGTGCCTTATTGAATGGATCAATTGTTGAGTGGATATTGCAGGGACAAAGTAGCATATGTTCTTATGAAATGGTCACAGATTTTTCATATCCAACTTTAGCTAACCAGTATCATCACAGTATCGTAGTAACTCAGGCACCCTGTTACCATGGAGGTTCCCTCCTGGCCTTTCCTCCAGGATCTCTCACTTTGTCTGTCCCTTCCATAACCCGGTTAGACCATCACGATCCCTGCCCTCCTAGGTCCCCTTTGCCTGTTAGCCATAGGCTTATTGATCTTGTCATGGCTTCACTTTGGAAGTCACACCTTGGATATATGTTAAGCAGGTCTTTAAGGGTTTTATTTTACTTTTGAGAACAAGGAATTTCTAGTAAAGGAAAAATTGGTAAGATATCCCATGATATTCAGCTTTCGAAGAGTTAATGACTAAGGGATGAACAGTCACCTCATTTTAAGACTATGTTTTGGAAAGAAAAGAGGGGGCAGGAGTTGAACCCCATTCTCAAATTGTCCGTACTGCAATAATTGTCAGTACTGTCAGCCCCAGAACGTCAGTCCTCAAGGTTCACATCTGAGCACAATGGGTTCCGGGCATTCATCTGTTCCTGAAATCTGTTTGTGTGGTGGATCCCACAGGCTTTGTACAATGATTTCACTGCTGTTTTTAGAAGAGGATTTGTTGCCAGTGAATGATGCTTCAGATATGCAATGGTGGCTTTCAAAAATAAATCTGTCCTTTCCCTAAAAATATTCAAGATTTTAAAAGAAGACTTTATAAATCTTGGTGCCCAATCTTGAAAAATAAGTAAAGCAGTTATAGAAATTCTCTATGAAAGAGGAAATTGGCTGAAGTGTGTTATGTGTGTGTGTGGAGAATTTATCAGTTACTGGGTTGCTCACTCATTTAACTGTTAGCTACATATTTCATATATAAACAAGAATTATAGGTGAATATTCTTCATAATCTTGATATTTGACTACTTGGTGAGCCATATAACCTTGACTATGATAACTTAGTACAGATGGTAAAAGAAGTAACACTAAATCCATTTTCCACTTTCAGAACACATGCTTCATACTTGTCTGGTGTCACTGAATTCCTACACAATTTCTGTGCCACATGAAGCATTTTATATGATGAATGCCTGGGAGTGTGGTTAAGGTCATATAACACATATCATCCATCTTATCAGCATCTCTTGTCTCAATCCAAATTTAGTTGGGTCATAGTTAACTTTTACGAAGTTATACTATATTTCTCTTTAGAATTGTTAAATTCCCAGTTAACATGTAGGTGATATAGGACTTGCAGCTCTAAAGAGCTAAAGGAAAGTTTATGTGTCATTCCATTCTCCTTCCAGTAACTTCCTTAAATCAGTTGCCTCTACTTCACTGAAAGGCCGTTTTTTAAAAAAACTTATTCACAAAGTGATCTTTTTTCTTTTGACCAGTTCAGATAAGGTGACACTCTTGCGGGTTTATTGTTTCCTGTATTATTTGAAATGCAAATCTTTTAAATTTTCTGTTTGTATTACAAGTTGTTCTACTGCAGAGTTCTAAGTACAGTAACTGCTGATGCCTGGTTTGAAATGACTCTCCTAGGAAACCCTATCCTTTTAAGGACCCATTATTCTATTACAACACCCCGGAGGCATCTAGCAGTAGATCCCTCCAGCTAAAACCATTCCAGCTCATTTTTAGGAAACCTAACACTTACCAGCTTGAGTGTACATTGCTCATTGCTCCTGGCTGCGGAGGTTTATTTTTGAAATCCCACTTTACTGAGTTAGAACCTGCTTGTTCATGACTCTCCTCTTTAGTCATTCTTCCCCCTCTTCACACACCCTCAGTGCACATTTACAGCTTCAGATGTGATTCTTGCATTTTAATTCCTTGCCCAAAATAGCTTGGAGATGATCATGTGTTGAAACTAAATTGTGCTGACATGCCTTAGATGAACATAATAAAAAGCTTTCCTTTTTATTTTTTTTAAAGTAAGCATTTAGCATCTTTAAGAGAACTGTGAAGAACTGCGTCATGGAGAGGAAGGGGTAGAGAGCGGAGGGAGGAGCTGAAATTTAGGGTTGCTTGCTTCTTCCCTCATTTAACTGTGATCCTGCCTCAGAGTCTAACATGGAAACTCTGGCTGCTTGGATCTCCATCTTTCTCATAAAATGAAGATAATTCTCTGAGACTTTGGTTACACCACCTCAGAATTTACTAAAAATGAGTAAAAGTCTTTTATCGCCATTATTTCACATGGCTTTGTTGCTTATATCCAATTCGTGGATGAAGGCTGAAATTGGGACACAAAGGTATAGTTTATGAAAAATGCTTTGTTAAAAAATAAGTTAATATGCTTCCAAGGGTGTTTTAGAACTTCCTGGCACTGTCACAGCACTTGACGATTGAAAATCATTCTTCTGCCACCCCTTCAGGACAAATCCAAATGTCGCTCAGATCATGCAGATAATTTACTTAGTCAAAAGAGCAGCCAATGTGTAGAGTGCATGAGTGCATCATGCAGTAAAGACCCCATTAAGGATATGTAGGTGGAAATATCCTCAGCTCTCATTTGTGTTTTCTGTGCCTGTTTTGATAGAGAGGCAGTGAGGAAAGCTCTGGAGAAAGAGAGGAAGCCATCCATTAGTCCTCCTCGAGGAATGAGAGTCTGCTGTCACACCATATCCCTGCCTGTCCATGGGCTCCCTTCCTGAAGTGCCTCCCCATGAAGGGCTGAGTTATCAGTGTGCCGCAGCCCTGGAATCAGGCAGGCCTGGGGGAAATCTCTGGTGGTTTCACTGGCAAACAATGAGCTGCACAATGGGCCCGGCCCCTGCCGTTTCCCCCCAACCTAGGAGGGAGGTGTGCTACCCCCATTTGCAGATGAAACGGAGCTAAGAAGAGCAGGGGACTTTGCACCTGCTAGCAAACCAGCAAGCCATGGAACAATGGTTCCAACTCAGGTCTTCCTAAACCCTTGTGGTCCTGTGTCCCACCCCACCCCACCTCCACACACACCCCCTACACACACACATACCACTGCTTCTTGAGCTTACCAAGTTAGGCAAAAAAATATGAATCCAAAGTATGTGGCTTATGTTTGTTTGTTTGTTTTCAGTCATACCAGATCTTCAATTGCCTTCATAGCTAAGTTTAATCCTCTCAAGCAAATTATAAGTTGTTTTTGATACCCAGTTATTATAGCCCAGTTTGGTCACTCAGGTTATATGTAAGGACTCTTTCCACATGATTTGGAAGTACTACTCTGTTATTATTAGGAAACTCTGCTAGTTAGGAAAATCAAATTCACCCTCAGAAGTTTGCTGTCACTGATAGCTTTCATTGAGTGTTCCTTAAATCTTGAAGATAATTAATTACAAAAGAGAGTTCTAAATACATCATTCAATAATGTGTAGTTTCCTATAAGCACACTACTCAAAGTTATACTCAATAACATGTAGATACTTAACAGAAGGACTTGGCTTATGTGTGGTTAATGCAGATTTCCAGATAAAATTGTGATTAAAAAAAATGTTGGGCTACATTTTGAAATTAAGGTCAAAATTTTAAGAACATTTATTTCTCATAGTCTTTGAGAGGTAAACTGTGGAATTACAGATGGACCTATCTATAATTCCAAATTGGGGAGAAACTATGATCGTAGGAGACTAACAGACAAAAAAAATTGTTTTTAAAACCCCAAAGTTGCAGAAAGAAAACAGTCCCCGGAGAGGTGGCAGTTTCTTCTGTGATCAAAAAGAAGGCAACATGCGCCCCTTCGCCCCCCCGGGGAGCCCCCGTGTGCCTCGTCTGGTGGGGATGTGGCCCTGCACCGACGCAGACCCCACCCCGTTTGAAGACAGGCCACTGTCCAAGCTGAAGGAGTCCGACAGGTGCTCAGCCCGGGAGAACCTCTACTTGGACGCCCTGACCCTGGAGGAGGATCCAGAGGAGGCTGCGGCCCGCGGACCCCAGAGGGAGCTCAGGAGCTGCCTCCCCGAGGTCGTCCTGGGTTTTCTTGTCTGGTCAGCGGGTTGTGGGCGAAACCTGGCCGGGTGGCTGGCGGCTCCAGGGTCCAGCATATCGCAGCCTCTGGGTTGAGTAAAAGTGAAACCTTCACAGTGCCGAGAGCTTTGCTTGGTGGACGTGACCCCAAACTCCTAGCGTGCTCTGCAGCCAGTTTCACCTTGCCACTTCGTCTCGGGTGTGGGAATGCAGGACCCATGTTCTATGAAAATGGAAAGGTCTCACTAACTGGCATGTCCGGTGAAACATGGGAGGAAATAGACCATTCTGGGAAGTGTAGATCTTTAACTTTTTAAAAATTCATAGCACAGTCTTCTGATTCTAGAAAACTAACTAATAACAAAAAAATTCTGTTTTAAAGAAAGTACCTTACATTTGCAAGTAGCAAATGTCATACCATAATATGTTATTCTGTGAAAGAGAAAAAATCGAACACATAGAAACCTTGTGTAAATTAGATCAGCAAACATGTGTGCTAAGCTCTGTGCTGAAACTTCCAGGGCACAGCATTCGGTTTTTCTGTTTATGCCCTCTTTAAAACTATGTTTTAAAAATCGATTTTAAGAACCATTACCTATGAGTCAATTTAACAGTTGCTGTGCCTGTCATTTAGCCTGTCCCAAACACTTAGTAGATTTAGAAGAGTTCATGTCAAATAGTGCTGTTGAAATGTAAGGAAATAAGGCACGTGTCAGTGAGGTCAGGGGCCCTCTCTTCAGCAATATGCACCCAGTTGATGTGACATCACCAGTATGCTACCCAGTTTGATCTAATGGCAATCTCACATGGTCCAGCTTCACAGCAGAGATAAGGCAGCCCAGGGTCAGAAGACTGTCCTAGTGCCAGCTTCGCGGTGGCCTGGACCCTATACTGATCTGCATGGCAGAGAGGAGGGCCATGCTCACTAAGCGGAAGCTGTTTACTGTGCCAATGGATAAATTTCCATCACCATCAGGGCTTTCTAGGATCCTTGCCCCTTCTTCAAGACCATGTCAGCACGAAGATTTTTTTTTCAAGACATCCTGTTCTCTGTCAGCACAGCTATCATTTTTCTTAAGCAGAAGTCACTGTAATTTCATCTCTGATTCCAAATGGCGATGCTTAAAACCAAGAAAGCGCTCAAGCCTAAGAATGTCACACTACCCTCTACAGCGAGGCTTAGACCAAGGGACATCAGTCTCCTAACTCTGTCACCCTTATCTTGCCTTCTCCAATCTCCTATCCCCCCTGCACCCCCTCCCCGCCTCATGCATACACACACACATGCAGACATATCCAGGTCATCACAAAGCCAGGTTTGAAATTCATGTCGTCAGCAAAGTTCTTTGAGGAAGCATAGGAGAGCCACTTTCTCCAACCTCCATGACAAAATTTATAGCCGATTTTTCTCACTCCTGTGGGCTCCTCCCTGGGCTGCAGAAGCTCCAACCCCTCATCACCCTGGATTCCAGTTTTATTATTGTACTTCAAAAGGCCGAAGGGCAGTAGCACTCCTGACTAAAACTTGGCTCTGTACATTTTCAGTGGTGTTTTCCTAGGACAGGAGAGCAAAACCATCATTTAGCACACTTGAAGTCTCCTAGGTAACCAATATTAGCTGATTTAGATAAACTTATTTCTTCTTTATAGGAAGAAGAAAATCACAAGGGAAATCTTCAAAGGTAAGTAAGATTGATGAAAACAATAGTAAACAACTGAAATAAAATCGTCTTGGTCTTAAAATTTCAGCTCATCATTGCAGTCTATTGTAACACTATCTTCAAAATGACTTAAAATTAGACTTCTGAATAAGTAATTGCTTTATTATTTTTATTTCAGAAATATAGTACTTTTTATAATTAGCAACAAAAGGGCCAGAGATGTGGTGTTGTATATGTGCGTGTGTGTATTAGTGTTAGGGTAAGAACTTTGCAGTTCTAGTTGTGCATTGTGTATATAAAGAAATAATTATGTTAAGTTTTGAAAAGTCCATGGAAACCCCTCTCCTCTACTTAAAGTTTGAAAAAACTCCCTCATAATAGGCTATGAGACAATTTATATAGTATATATTTAAAAGCTCTTACTAGGAGAATATATTAAAATATTTCCTGGAAGTAATCCTTGAAGTAGATATAAAATAGTTGATGTTGATATTAGTAATCATGTACTTTGGGTCATCTGTATATGGGATGTTTCTGAAAAGACACATATAAACAAATCTGTTTAAATTTAAACATTAAAAATAGAAAACTGAGAGGAAAATACAGAGAATTCCCATACTGTCCCACCCCAAGCCCATAAACAGACTTTTTCTTTATAGATGAATATATATCATTTCCACTACATGGAATCTCTTCTCTGAGCCATTCATTATTTTCCAGTTTCCTCATCCCTGTTTTTCTGTAAACTTAAAATCCACGAATTTTGCTCTTTATTGGATTCACCCAAAATCTAGAATTGCCCACGGTACATTTCTGACCTTCAAGCTCTGTCTTGTCCGGTTATTCTCGGACTGTACAGGACAGCACTTGTGAGCTCAGGGTCAAGAGCCAAATGGCCTGGGTTCAAATCTACTTCTGCTTCTCATTAGCCATGTGACCTTGGGTGAGTTTTGTAACTGCTTTGTGCCTCAGTTTCCTCATCTGTAAACAGGAGGTATTTAGATTTTTTTTACAGCTTACGTGTGTTAATCCACATAAAGTGATGACTACACGGAATAAGTAAATGAAGTTTAGCTATCATTACATCCTCCCACTTTTTTTCTTTTTTTCTTTTTTTAGCAGAGCTCCTCCATGCACTGTAGCTATTTATTATTTTTTTATCTTAATTGCTTCTGTTAATTTAAAAAGTAATCCATGCTTGTAAAATGTAAACAATATCAAAATATCCCAAGTAAGAAAGTTCATGCGTGTTCCCCACCATTTCTGTTTTCCTCTTGCTTCTAGCAGTTTCAGGTGCTCCCTCCATATTTTATTCTGTGTATCTTGACGCATGTGCACATGTTTCACATGCATCCTGGTTTTCATAGTTACTGTTTTGTTTCACTTGGGGTGCTGCTGAGGTTGATACTTTTCCTTTCTCTGTCCACATTACCTCTGTTCCACGAGATCCATCCAAGCCCTAAAGGTGACACTGTTTTAACTCTGTGAGGTAACGTGGACAGAGAAAGGAAACGTATCAACCTTACAGGTGACACTGATTTAACTCTATGAGTAGATCCTCTGTGGGCAGAAGCCAGGGTTAATGAGCTACGTCTGAGAAGTGTAGATCAGGACTTCCATGTCTGCATAGCACTCCCAGCCCCCAGTGAACAGTGTTGTGAAGCTCGTTACTAATTCGACGACTTCTCGACTGGACCAGAGGCAATAAGAGGAAAAATCATGCTTGCCGGAAAGCTAAGACCTGGTGACAAATAGACCCATCCGTTAATTTCCACCACTGGTTATAACTAGCTTTCTGTTATTCAGAGCGCCATTAGACGGTTTGCAGATTATTTCTAACAAAAAAAATAACACCGACTTTTACCTCTAGTGAGGAATAACAAGATGGAATGCCTAATGATAGCACTTATAGCCTGCTCTTTTACCCCATGGTGACAACCACAGGAGGATGTGCCCCGGGGTGGGGGAAAGGCATCCAGAGTTTTGTTGGTTCTATGGGTTAGTCCCTGTGGTACACAGTCCCCAATTCTGGCCTCATCATCATTAATGGGTCCTATGGTAGAGTGGCCCATGGCCTGCCTCTGTCTGGGCCTGGGCTAATCTAGAACTCTAGGTATTCAAGCCTTTGTGTGGGAGGTGGGCAGATATTATGTCTTATGAGAAGCTGGTCTAGTTGCAAAAACAGTCTGCATACACCTCACCTCCCCAACAGCCTATCCAGAGGGATTTCAGGCCAGAGGGTCCAGGCATGGCCAGCCCCAAGCCTCCTTCCTGGCCACCACTTCTTGGCCCTGGGCGGGCTGACGAGTTGTCTGAGCATTCCAGAAACCTCCTGTCTTAGCATGTCAGAATGCCCAGCCTGCCCAGGCCTACAGGAGGCAGTCAGTAAATTCATGACAAATAGAAATATGTTGAATTAAAATGCTAACATATTCAGGAATCTACATCTAAATCCACATCTATCAGGCGGCAGCTTATCCAAAACTGACTGTTGATTTAGCTCACCTGTCATCACCCTTCATTGTGTGCGTCTGTGGCCATCTTCCTTTTGTCCAGGAATACAGGAGGAACGGGAACAAAGAGAAGGCTTGACCACAAAAGAGGGATCAGACAGGGAAGGGGAGAGCTGAGCCCCATTCATGGACTTGGGCAGGGCCAGATGGAATTTCTGTTTGATATGGTATTTGAAAATTCATCTCCCAACCTGATTACATCTTCCACTTTCCTTCCTTCTTCTACATGTTCCATTTGGCCTTTGGAGGCCAAATAGAGGATGTACTCTAAGCCAATAGAGGATGAGGCCAATAGATGAAAAAGACTTTAGATTATAGTTATTTTGTTGTCATATCTCCCCCCTGCTCCATACCATTAGCTGGTTTTGGATTGAGACTGTGATGTATTCATGTCTGTAGCATGAGCACCTGCCATAATGCCTAGAACCCAGACAACTCCCAGTAGGTTAGGAATTGAAGGCACTGGTCGGTAGATAGAGAGATTAGGCCACAGCCATTTTCCCTTCTTCCTGTAGAGCACCGTAGGCTAAAATGAAACCATCCAAAGTGGGTTTGGAGCTTAGCTATGACTGCCAGGTAGCCCCGCCCTTCTACTTGTTCCCACCACGCTTGAGGGTTGGCTGTATTCTATTCTGACAAATACAAAGCTCCTGGAACAATTCCAGAGCCATAAAAAGCCCATTAAACATCCACAGGGTCAGCTCAGAAGTGAAGAAAATCAAGCAGCTGGAAAAAGTGTTCTAATAGTTCAGGTGGAGACTGACACGAAACAGGCACTCATTGTGTGGGCAGCACACATGCTACGTTGAACCACGGGGTCGCAGGTCAGTGGGCTCCCTGGCTGGCGGGCAACTGACACTGTCTCTCTCCCACTTTTCCCAGGGCGGTGTCCGTGTCCTCCATGTCTGAGTTCCAGCGCCTGATGGACGTCTCTCCCTTCCTGCCAGAGAAAGGCCTGCCCACTGCCAGCAGCAAGGAGGATGTCACTCCACCCCTGTCCCCTGACGACCTGAAGTACATCGAGGAGTTCAACAGCAAGAGCTGGGACGAGAGGCCCCCAGACCCCTGGGCAGATAGGACCGAGGGAGGGCGGGTGGGGAGCGAGGCCAGCACCGAGCCTTTCCCTGACTCTTCCTGGTACCTCACCACAAGCGTCACCATGACCACGGACACCATGACCAGCCCAGAGCACTGCCAGAAGCAGCCCCTGCGGAGCCACGTCCGCACCGAGCCGTCTGGGGTGCGGGTGCTGCATAGCCCGCCTGCGGTCCGCAGGGTGGACACCATCATGGTGGCAGGCGGTGAGGGCTTGGGCCGGGCGGAGCCCGAGGGCCCATTTTCCACAAGCAGAGCCAGAGGGGGCATGGGAGACACAAAGGGGGGGCCCTCAGAACACATACTTAGCAGGTGGCCTTGCGCTCCCTCCAGGCACCCCCGAGACTATGGGGAAGGAGGGTTGCACCCCCTTGATAGTGCCCTCTGCACCCCCCTGGGTTTCCCCTCCCCATTGCATAGCCTGGAGATGTCCAAGAACATGAGTGATGACATGAAGGAGGTGGCCTTCTCTGTCAGGAAGGCCATCTGCTCTAGTTCCCCTGACCCCCGGGGGGTCAAAGACATGGCCTGCCAGACTAACGGGTCCCGGACGACTGGGACACAGACCATCCAGACCATCAGCATCGGCCTGCAGACCGAAGCTCTGCGTGGCAGTGCCATCACCAGCAGCCCCCACAAGTGTCTCACACCAAAGGCGGGGGGTGGTGCCACTCCCGCATCGTCTCCGTCCCGCGGCCTTAGGAGCAGGCAGGTGGCCCCTGCCATCGAGAAGGTACAGGCCAAGTTTGAACGCACATGCTGCTCCCCCAAGTATGGATCTCCTAAGCTGCAGAGGAAGCCCCTCCCCAAAGCTGACCAGCCAAATAACAGGACCTCGCCGGGGCTGGCCCAGAAGGGGTGCAGCGAGTCGGCCTGGGCCCGCTCCACCACCACACGGGAGAGCCCCGTGCACACAGCCATCAACGATGGCCTCTCCAGCCTCTTCAACATCATCGACCACAGCCCTGTGGTGCAGGACCCCTTTCAGAAAGGGACACGGGCTGGGAGTCGGTCTCGCTCAGTAGAACCCCAGCAGGAGCTGGGCCCAGGCCAGGACACCGGCCCCAGTTCCCGGGGACAGTCACCCAGCCCCATCGGGGTTGGCTCAGAGACTTGTAGGGAGGAAGGGGGAGAGGGGACACCTGTGAAGCAGGACTTATCCGCTCCCCCTGGCTACACGCTCACTGAGAACGTAGCCCGGATCCTCAACAAGAAGCTGCTGGAGCATGCCTTAAAGGAGGAGAGGAGGCAGGCCCCCCATGGCCTCCCAAGTCTTAACAGTGACAGCCACATGGGAGAAACGGTCAAAGCTGAACCAGGGTCCATCGAGGTAATGAAGGCTGAGTATTCCACACCCTCACCCTACCAGCTCTTCCATTTAAATGTTGGGAAAACAAGTTTGAACCCAGGATTGTACTAAGTCATTTAATTTCGAGAATTGTTGTCCATAATAGGTCCCTGTGAACTGGGGAGATACCAGGTTTAGGGAGAATGGAATAGGCAGAAACACAAAGCCTGAGCTGCTGCTTAACGAAAAGTGATCAGGTGCTCTTCTCTGGTCTAAGTAATTGATGCTCATCTGTTTATCTGGGCTTTTCACTTGAGGTTATAACTTGCCCTCTTTCTGGGTGAATTTGTGTCCTAGGGATGTGTGTGTGAAGTATGTCAGAGTTGTTTCAGGGCTTTCTGCATGCTCCAGATCTTTATATGCAATGATACAAGAGGTGTGCTAGAGAAGGTTTTGAGAGAGTGGATTCTAGAACATCTCTCACAAAGAACTAAAAGAACAGCTGAATTCCAGTGTTGGCTTCAGTGCAAAGTAGCAGGCTTATATCTCACAGATCACATATTGTCTCTGTGTCCATGAAGCCCCATGGCAAGAAAACCAGGTGAGGCAAACAGGTATGATCCAAGCCCTGCCTTCATACAATGTGATTATCTCCCTGGCACATTGCATTATCACACTGCATACGACCGCACATATTATCACATTATTATATGATTATTATTATATCCCCTTTAACAATATTAGCAAATCGGTCAACGTTGAATTCTGTTCTGATGTATAGCCACATACATCAGCATAGTTGTACCACACCACTTTAAAAAATAATCCCCACTTCCACCTCAAGAATGAGCAAAATAAAACAAAGCCTGATGACAGTGACAGGGGTGAAAGAAATAGGGATGCTGGCCTCACAGTTCATGCGGTGTTGAGGACATGGTCCCTAGGCCTCCATCAGCCACTGTTCGGGAGTGGTCCCACGTGTAGACTTGAGGGTGAGCCCCAGCCCACCAGTAGCCCAAATGGACAAAATCCAGACCAGGGGGATCCAGACGCCCACAAGCATTCCCCAGGCGGGACAGCCCAAGCAGATGGCGAGGGTTGGCGAAAAGGAGGAGAGAAATAGCCTCCCTGGGCTGCCCTCTGCTTTCCCACCTGCCATGGCCCAAGCTTCACAGGTGAGGAGAGGAGGAAGCTATAGCTCCACCCCCTGCCCCACATACTGCCCAGGAGAACAATGACCATCAGGTTCCCAGTCTAACCCCTGGAGGGGTATTTAACTCAAAACACAGAGTTTAAATCTGAAATAGGTTAAACCTTGTGAAGTTGCCGCAGACCTACAGAATCATCGATGCTGTGTGGTTCAACCTAATCTTGACAGTACGTGGCCCACCAAAGACGTGAGTCTGTGATAAGTGGTTCACATGCTCTGAGAAGGACAAAGAATTCTCAGTTGTGGTTGCATGTTCTTAGGTGACAGATGGGGTCTTCTGTGGGCTCTGGTAAGTGGCTCGCTGCTGCAGAGGATCTATTTGTGTGAATGCCCTGCCTTTTCAGAGCTCTGGAAGGATCAGCTGAAAGCAGGGCTTTGTCCCAAAGTATTAGCTGGCTGTGCCTGTAGTGTCCATTTATATTAGAGACTAAATAGAAACTAATTTTTAGGAACCAAAAGTGCTTTGCGTTACTAACAATGAATGCTCCAAACAATCCGATCCTTGATAATATAAAGAAAATGGTTTAATGACTGAATCACAGTTTCAAGGCATGAAAATGGTTTTATTAGTCAAAGCTATGTGTATCCCCTGCCCCGCCTTTTGGTTCTCTGTAGAGTGTCTATGTAGATTTTCTGCTCACTTGGTGTGTTTGCTACCACGAGAGATGACTGGCCAGTTTGAAAGAGCACAGCGCAGTTTGAGGGGTTCAAAACCTGCATGGAGTACTCCTGGCACTGCTTACATGCCATGGCCTCTTTTTTCCTCTTTCTGTTTGCTGGAATTTTGCTTGTTCTAGATTTCGGTGGAACTATTCCTTGTCTGAATTGACTTACTCTTTAGGCCCATTGGAGAGCCCTTCTCATCACTCCATAAATTATGTGGTAGTTCTGGGTTTTCATTCCAGAAGCACCAGAACTGACTCTGATTTCCCAACCTGCTCTGAGCACCCTGTCGTGGACTCTTTAGCCCTGAACTTTCGCTCAGACATCTAACACAGGGGTGACATAGGGATCCTGGCTAGGACTCTGCGCAGCAGGAAATGCCCCTTTCTCCCCTCGCTTTCACACCACAGCTACTTACTCTTATTCTCTTGAAGCCGTAACACCAGTGCAGTGATGCAAAGAGAAGCTGTGAGTTCTCGTGTGAAGAGAATGAGAATAATCTGGAAATGCAATGCTATTCTTCCCTCCCATGTCTAAGTGGAACATGAGAAGGAAAATTTTTAGTATGAGCAGCAGTCGCTTGATCATTGTGACTAAAACAAACCAGCTGTTCAATGCTCTGTTTCAAATACTAGAGTCCTGTGACTTCCATCTCTCCATGCACCAAATGGCCTTTGAAAGTTAAAAGCCAAAGGGCAACTCAGGGAAGAATAGAAACCGGAAGGGAGAAGCCTGTTGCTGTTCTGCAGTGAGGGTCCCCTCCTCCCTCTTGACTGAGGCAGAGGAGGAGTCCGCGTGCCCCAGGAGTGCATGTGCCACCTCTGTGGGAACTCACACTTCTCCTGATTTCTGTCTCTGGAGCTGGCACTTGCTTGTTGATGTTAATCCTTTACTGTTCTTTTAAAAAAAAATATTTTCCAACCTACTTGCTTTTCTTTTCTTTGTCTATTCTGTCCAGAACCAAACTGTCTTACTAACTGCCCCCTGGGGACTCTAGCCCTGCCTGCCTCACGCCGTAAGTGCTTTCTTCCTTCTTTCCAACCTGTCTGGAGAGATCATTTGTGTAACTTGGGGTTAGCATCTGACACACAGAAACAAGGCGGAATCATCCCAGGTAGATTTGCTTTGTAGAGGCAGCTGCCTGCACCGGCACAGGGTCCTTCACAGATTGGGAGCGTCCCTCACAGATTGGGGGACAGATTGGCAGCCTGGACAATCCCATTTGCTGAGTGCCGACTGCTCAGTGCAAAAAAAGCTCTCAGGTTGTAGAGATCCTGCTGAGATTTCTCCTCTCCTGTGCAGTTCGCAGGCAGTATGCTTTCAGAGGGGTAAAGGGACATTGGCTGGAGAGGGGACTGTCTCTGGCACAGACTTCAAGCCTGTGGGGATCTTTGAGTCAACCGTCCTGGACCTGCTACCAATATTTGGTGGCACATGTACATTGCTGTATGCTGTAATGAGGTGTGACCATAATGCACTGAGGCTCCTCTCCTTTTTTCAACAACCACGCTAGAAGGAATAAAAGCAAATGCATCTTGTCCTTCCAAGTGGTCACCATAGGTGACCTAGTAAATGCTCAATAAATAGACGTTGATTGAATAAATAACAAAATCATCCCTGCTCCAAAAAATATTCTCAAAGAATTGCCTTCAGTACTTAAATGGAGGCACGAGAAAATATCAATCTTGTTTTTGACCAAGGATATAGTCACCCACCCACCTCTTCCACTGGTCTTAACTCAGAGTGCTGAGTACCAAAGTACAGTTGGCGCTCAAAGGCGAAAGAGGTGCTCCAAGGGTCAAACGCCCACATCGCACATTGCAGTGGCTCCTCAGGAAAGAACAGCAGCATTTGCTTATGCGTGCCAGTGTATTACTAAAGAAAAATGTGCATTACTAAAGAAAAATGTGCATTGAACTCCTGGTCGCACAACATTTCTTCCTAGGGAAGTTCACAAACAGATGCTAGTGAAGAGGTGGCACAAAACTAATAGAAAGCCCATTCTCATCCAGCATTTGTCAGGTGGAAACAGGCTGTGTGGTGTCAAACAGACGTATAGCAGCAGCCTTACAAACCACGCAACACAAACAACACGTACACACCTCATACCGGGAGCGGTGACACCAAAAGACAAAAGAGTAGCAGATATCTCAAACCATATTCCCCCTCATGCCCTGGGATGAGTTGAGGTGAGGAGAGCTCACCCCTGTGTTAGTTCACATTTCATCTATTTCAGTGCTGACGGTGTTTTCACAGGTGAGGAACCTCTGGTTGTCATGGTTCTCCTTAGCATAAGTGCTTTGCTGATCCACGCTTCCCCACTGTCGTATAAAGTGCCAGCTACAAAAGAGGCAGGGACCATTAAGAAGAAGTCTCCAGTGTTAATGCTCATTTTCTGCTGACCATACAGCAAGGCAACCACCTCACTCCATCGCTCTTCCAGAAGCGCCGTGTGGCCTGCCTTCCATCTTCTTCCTTCGTTGTCACATTGTCCATCACATTGTCCTTCAACACAGATGGCTGTCTCTTCCCTGCTGTCACTCCCCTGCTCCTCTGACTAAACATTCTTCATTCTGGTCTTTGCAGTCGCTTGTCGCCTCTCTTTAAACCCTCTGCTTAACTTCCTGACTGGCTGTGAGTGTCTTTGCTCTGTGTCATCCTTCATTGCAGTGGTTTTCCATCTCAGCTCTTTCTTGTCTGAGTGGCGTTGGGCAGATGGCCTCCACCCTGTAGAACTCACCGTTTCCTCATGCCACAGCTTTTCGCCTTTCTCTGTGCCAGCAAATTCAAGTTTGGGTGTCCTCGTTTCCTATTGTGCAGACTAAGGACAAATAGCTCAGCATTCTTTAAAACCAACAAAGGAGCAGTGGCCCTTGAGAAGTATTATAGGTGACTTGCAGCATGGTCGAGTCTGTCTTGCCTTATCTGTTCTCAGAAGGTGTGGGATGCCTGCAACACAAAAGCCCAAGCGCACTCTTATTCCACTTTTTAAAATGCTGCTGCGAGGCAGAGTCATTAAAGGAAACTAGACCTAAATTAAATTTTCTGCCTGCTGCACTCTTTC